CAGAGATTGTTGGGCCTATTTTCAGACAAACCCGTTCCCAGCTGGCTGGAGCTGTTCAGCAAGGTTTGTGCACGGGAGGGTACAGCTTCATTCTTGTTTGGACAGAAAGCAGAGACATCTCATGTGACACCACTTTGGTTGATGCTTTACATCCACATGAGCAGTGTGTATAATATATATATATATACACATAGGCATATTATATAAACATAGACATATTATATATACATATACATACTATATATACATATTATATATATGTATATATGTATGTATGTATGTATGTATGATGCATGCATGCATGGATGGATGGATGGATGGATGGATGGATGTATGTTTGTATGTATGTATGTATGTAATGTAATGTAATGTAATGTAATGTAATGTAATGTAATGTAATGTAATGTAATGTAATGTATGTATGTATGTATGTATGTATATATGTATATATAATTATATATACATATATGTATATATACATATATATACATATATATATATATGTATATATATATATATAGAGAGAGAGAGACATGGATATATGGATATGTGGGGATCGTCATCATCCATGACCTGGGAATCCGTTTCGAATTTGTCGCCAAGGGAAGCTTCCGAGGAAGCTGGCCTTGGCTGGTCAAGACAGAGTCAGGCTGAGGAAACCTGAAGGAACTTGGGCGGGCCTGGGGGGGTTGGTTTTGCGTGACATCGCCGATGAAAGGATGTAGATTTTCTGCGAGTTTTTCACGTAAAATTCACACTGTCTTCCAGCAAAATGTCGATGGTCACAAAGAAAGCTTGATAGTTGAACTTTATCCGACTGCATTCGAAATTTCAACTTGGATGTGCATCCCATATATAAGTAGGGATATTCCATATATGACTGGGGCTATAACCCATTTACTAAGTGTGATGCACCCGCAAGAACTTTCCCGTCGGGGCTGTGGCCACCAGGTCATGGTCAGTGGAACATCAAGGCCTCCAATGTGTTCAGCAAACACCTGCCTCTTGGTCCACCAAAAAATTGGGAGGTCCTGTCATGTTTCGGAGAAAGATGAGTGATGATCTATGATGATCTATGATTAGAATGATTGGAGATCATCTTTCTGTAATCCATAACACCATGAGGTTTTCAATGGTTTTCATTAATCTTTCTTATCCTATGATTGCTGTCAAATTCTTCATCTTTCTTTTTGTCAAATGTCCAGTGGATGGTGACGGTCACCGGCAAGGAGAGCTGTGGACTCCCCGGACTTTCACAAGTTCCATTTCTTCGGGCCGTCGCCCAACATGCCGTGCTTGTCGAACCTGAATCGCGCTCTCGCTTCCCAGGAGAGCGGTCCCGGTCCTTGGGGCGACCAAAGCCTGCCAAAGGTATCCAAAGGTTATAGGCTATTGAAATGTATTGATATGTAATGAATGTATGTACGTATATATATATATAAATATCATATATTATATATGTATGTATGTATGCATAAATACATATATATATATATAAATATCATATATTATATATGTATGTATTTATGTATGTATGTATGCATGCATAAATATATATATAATAATAATAATAATAATGAATATCATATTATATATATATATGCATGTGTGTATAATTACATATATATATATATAAATATCATATATTATATGTATGTATGTATTGTAATGTAATGTAATGCAATGTAATGTAATGTCATGTCATTTCATGTCATGCAATGTAATGTCATGTCATTTCATGTCATGCCATGTCATGTCATGTCATGTATGTATGTATGTATGTATTGTATTATATTGTATTGTATTGTATGTATGTATGTATGTATGTAAAATACGTATATGTATATATATATATTATGAATAAACAAACAAATAAATAAATCAAAATAAATAAATAAATATCTTTAAATACATACATAAATTATAAATAAAGAAATACACAAATTAATTAATTAGTAAAGAAATAAATATGTATATAGATAGAGAGTTGTATTTAACTATCTTCGGCCCGCCGACATTCCATGTTTGCTTGTGGTGGACTCTTCACTGAAATCCTGAAGTTCGCTTGAACGTTACTACCTCCAACAGGGACTGGCAAGCAAATTCTGCACACCGGCATACTGTCAAGAGAGCGCCTGCATGTGGAGTGCACGCAACATATTCGCTACGAATATGTGAAGCTCAAGTTCGCAGTGAATGATAAACAGAGTGCTTCTCCAATTAACGTATCAGGAGACGATTTGATCGCTCCTTCAAAGATGGACGCGGCGGAAGATGCCGATGTCAATCGCTCTTCGCGACGTCAATCCTAAGCCATGAGATTTTTTGAGATGAACATGGGACATGTTGTAAACGACTCTGCAAACTTCGTTCGTTAAACTGCGGCTTGAGTAAGTAGTTTTGTAAGGTACCCTACACTGCATGTACCTACTATTACCTACTGGTATCCAGAATCTGTTGTGCAGTTGCAGGTCTCCACCTTGTGCTGCTTGTCCTGAACAAACGCTGACCGGTATGTAGTGTAGGTCTCCGCTGAGTTGTGCCCAAAGTTGTGCTTCTAATGGTGTAGCTCCATGGATGTTTCCGCTGTTGGCAGTCGTGGGAACTCTGAGTTTTGGAGTCCAAGCTATGATACCATTTTGTGTGAAGTATGGTTCTCCTCCAGCTGCGGCAATGTTTGTCCTTGTTGTGCTCTCTCAACTGCTGTTGCTTTGTTGCCTTGTAGCTTACCATCTGACTGTATCTTTCAAGAGGCCTGGATTGAACCCAGTCATGTACCAAAGCAAACATGTAGCTTACAAGTGAACTGTGCTCAGACATGTACACATGGTATGTTTAATACCCGTCATCATTATCGTTATCATCGTTATCATCATTGTCACCGTTGTTGTCAGAATCATCATCCTGTCCGCCTTTTGGGCCCTTGCGATGCCCTCGGGCGGCACATGGTTCAGAAATTTTGCTGCGAAGTGGTCATTGCGTATAATTTGAAATTCAGTGACTATGCCAACACGTTTGCCATAATCCAGAAACAGATCACCGATTTGTTGCAACGTCAAGTTTGGCCAACAATAGAGAGAGGCTTAGTTCGGTCGATGTATTTGCAGGGTAAATAGGCATGTGTCCGTGTATATGTATATGTATATGTAAATGAATATGTATACGTATATGTAAAAGTATTTTTTCTTTTAAATACATGATATATATATAGGTAGATAGATAGATTGGATTGGATTGGATTGGATTGGATTGGATTAGATTGGATTAGATTGGATTAGATTGGATTAGATTGGATTAGATTAGATATACATACATATACATATATATGTACAAACCGTTATCCACGTGTACACTATTTCTTTGCAGTTTGAAAACCTACGGAACTTACCAGGAGATTCGTCAACAGCTGGGCGTTGTCATCGGCACCTCGGTACCTTTACTGCCTTTTCTGGTGTCCCTTGGCGAAACCACTGTTGACACATTTCACCATGATACCCGGCCTGGTAAACATACACAAAACTATGGAAAGATCCACCATTTTTAATGGGTAAATCAACTATTTCGACTCGGCCAGTTTCAAGAACTATGTTAGTTTGCCAAAGGGTATGTGTGTATATTATGTATGTATGTATATGTGTATATATGGGTAAACTATTGTGACCTCGCTTCGGAACGCTGGAATCATGATTAGATTGCGGGGAATCATACCGAAATGGCCGAATTTTCAGTAGCTTTGCTGTTTTTCGGTGCGAAACATGGAAGATGGGCGGCCGAACTTTTCAGGTCAGTGAAATATTGTCTGGTTGGTGGTTTCAAACATGATTTTTATTTTCCATAGTATATGGGATAATCCTTCCCATTGACTAATATTTTTCAGAGGGGTTAAAACCACCAACCAGTTATGATTTGACCCAGATGAAGGAGTGTTTATGACACGATGCCAATGTTGTATAATGTTGGCATTCTCATCGGGCATTGTTTTTTGGCGGAGAGAGACTGGAAGATGGGACAGATTCTCCAGAACTCCAATTTGACAGAGACCACTGGGGGCAACTAGTTGGCATCGCTTACCAGATTGCCATTGTCAGATGCACACAGTTTTTTTCCCCCCACCGCAACGGAAACAGCTGTGACCGAAATTTCTGAGGCGAATTTACCAGCACAAGAGATGGTATCACTATACCAATCCTCATACAGATGCTGAGATCATCTTGAGAGTTGTGCGAATCCATCCCATGAAAGGGAAGTAGAACAGCCCAAAAAATGGGTGAAGATGGGGTTTTGGACCCAAACATTTGGGTTTCAGACTTGTTTCCGTGGTTTCCCTTCTCTCCTTTTTCTACGGCTATGTTGAGGGGGTCATTTGGCCAACAATCCAAGGGGAAATCCACAGTGACTGGAAAATCTCGAAGGAAGAGCTGGATGTGTTTTTGGGTCCCTCAAGGATGACTTTCGTTAGAGATATTTGCCAAAAAACATCTCATCTATAGGTGGATACCCTCTGGTAAACGTTTACAGTTTGCGAACTGGAAAATGGCCCAGTCGAAATAGTGGATTTACCGAACTTGAACATGCTGGATCTTGGTGGATCTTTCCATCATTTTTTGTATGTTTACCAGGCCGGGTATCTATTGATAATCACGGACAATTATAGATAATTATGGATCATTATGGATGCTTTGGTAAGGATGATTCACATGTGGGTTTTTCTCATCTCAAGCTTTCATGGTTTTCCCTCCGGGTAGGCTTCTTGAAGCTTTTGATTTTCTGCAGTTGGCACTCTCGACTAATTGGTTTGGTCTCGGCTGCCCTTACCACTGTGGCCAATCGACTTTGCCACCAATCTTGCTGGCCTTCTCTATCGGCACTTTCATTGGATTTTGCACCTGTGCCCTCCTCTGCTGGCTGCTCTTCAGAACTTTCTGCTCCCTTCCTGACCATCAGACACCTCCAGGCCATCCCATTCCACATCCCTTAGTCCGCCTGAGGGGCTACCGTGTATGAGTTCTGGGGATCTCCAACAACTCTCAGAACGAGTGGCCTTGTTGGAGTTGCAACTTGCTGATTTGACATCAGCCTTCAACCAGTTTCGGTTGAATTCCAGACAGCCTTCCAGAAGTACTTCAGAGTTTCATCTGGTCACATCTCCTAGCAGAGACGGCGCCGGCTCAGTGGGAGCAGGTTCCGTGGCTTCGTCTGGCTACAACGTCCTGGCTGAAGAGATCCCTACGTTGCCCGATTTTGCTGCTAGGCTGTGTTCTAACCTCACTGGTGGATCTTTGTGTGGGCGTGAAAGAGCACGGAGAGCGTGGGAGTCAGGTTGGTGGGCACGGTTTTGCTTGGAGGGAAGGCTGCAGAAGCCCCGTCCATCAAAGCCCTGTGATCTGGCCAACTCTTGCTACGTGGTGTTGCGAGCTGAAGGCTACGACTGCCCTTTGCTTGTCACCCGGGCAGCTGACTACAGAGCCATTGTCAAGGAGTTCAAAGGAGACTCCCTATCACACGGCTTCGCTTCACAATCAGAAGCCAAGGTGTATTGCCTGGGAGCAGGCGTGGAGTTCCCTCAGAGGACCTTTCAATGGAGCCAGGGGCAGTGATGAGTTTGCAGGAAGGCGTGGAAGAGGCCTATGTCCTCTTTTGGCCCCCAGATGCTGCAAGTTTCGAAGAGGCTATGGCAAGTTTGGCAGTGGTGATTATGAAGCGGGTTGGAGGCCTGCTGTTGGCGGTCCCTGTGGGATTCATTCCTTTGGAAGAGCTCCAAGGTGCTGCTACGACAGAGGAGGACAGTCTCATAGGTCCGTTCACTACGTTGTCAGTTCCCGCAGTTCACATGGAAGAGGGCGGCCCTACGCCCTATGGTTCAGACATAGAAGTGCAGGTGGTAGATTTTGCAGACCGAGTCACACATGGCTTAGTCAAGTTTTCAGATGCGCAGGTTGCAGAAGAGCTTGTGGTGGGATTCACGGACGAGTCCGCGGTGGTGCCAGATCCAACCACCCTCCTGAGGTACGCCATGGAGTGGGCTGCTGCTTCGGCCGCCCAGAGGGCCAACTTCTACTCTGCGGACGAGGGCGCGCCAGAGGGACAGCCCCCAAAGCAGGCCGCCAAGGCAAAGGCTGCCAAGGCGAAGAGGCCGTCTACAGCTCAGGTCACAGCAGAGCACATCTCAAGAATGGCTTCGCTGCTTCCAGCTATGGCGGCCCAGCTGACCGAACTGCAGCAGAACCAGATATCACTACAGCAACAGATGGATCTGCAAGCTGGCCAGCCCCAGCCTCGGCCAAGTCAGATGCCTGTTTCAATGAGCCCCCAGCAGTTTGCAGGGATCGTTGGTGCTCCTCCCAAGACCAAAGGCTTGGCGCTATCTCATCCTCCTCCTCCTCCTTCAAAGCGAGTGGGGTTGCAGTTGGACTCTCCGCTGACAGTTCAAGAGCAGGCAGAGGAAGGGGTACCAGAAGTAGATATGTCTCCTTTGGCGCTGGCGATGCTGGAGCAGAGCAGAGCGCTCACAGCGATTATGGCCCACCTCGCTCAAGGGGATCCCCTCCTGGACACCCATGCTTCAGGGACTTCCACATCGTCCAGGGGGGCCCAAGGAAGAGAAAAGCTGCAAAGAGAGCTATCAGATCGGACAGGGAGTTTCTTTTTGACCGTGATGCAAAACATGTTCAAGAGAATGAAGCCGGCTTCATCCGTCCCCAAGACAATCGAAGAGCTGGCGAGCACAGACCTGTCAATGGTCCACTATCTAGAGCGTTTTGGAGGATACGGCAATGTGCGAGACATGGGCATCTGCCAATATGCACTCAGCTTTGTGGTGGACCTAGCTCTCAAGGGCGATCTTCAGGGCCTCAGAGAGCATCTGGCTCTGTTGGTGGTGGCGATCGAGCAGTATGCTCAGGACGGGAAGTGGGACTTAGGTTTCATGCTGACGCTGCTGGAAGACCCACCGCCCCAGATGTGGAGCTATCGGAACCCTGTTGGAGCTCAGACAGGGAGGCTGCGGGCATTTGCTCCGCTTTGCCCGCAGCGCTGGGCCACTATTCAGCTGGCCTACCTGAAGGAGATAGATTTCATCCACAACAGGCGGCAGGAGACAACAAAGAAGGAGGCACCACACCAGCCTTCTCAGCCTGGGCCAAAGAGGAAAGGGAACTCAAAAGGCAAAGCCAGCCTTGCCTCCACAGAGGAGGCCTGAGCGCCACGTTGCCCAAGGCCAGTAGTGATCCTTTGCCAGGCTCTACTATGTCAGTGCGGCCCTCTGGGACTGCAATATTTGGTCGGGGATCCGCTACTGACCCTAGGGGCATTTCGGCGTCTGGCGGCTTTGATTCTGGGAAGCTGGAGGAGGACTATGGGAGAAATTCAGGGGCCTTTTGCAGTGATCACAAAGATGAGCCTCGGTCCCTTGATGCATGGGTCAAAGCTCTGGTGAAGGCATTTTTGAAGTCAGACACAAAGTTTGCACTGTACCTCTCCAGATCTATTCACTGCTGCCGGGGTAGGCGTAGCTCTGCCTCTACTGCTCTGTTTCCGATTCCTGTGCCTTTTGTTGATGCATGGTTGAGTCGCCCGCAAAGGCTTGGCAGAAACCGCAGAGAGAGAAGAGCGGTTCGACAGGTTGTGCACTTGGTTGTGATGGCTTTGAACTATGCCTACCTTTCTGCCCCATTTTCAACTTTGCCGAGTTTGCGGAGGTGCCCAAGCCGTATCCATTTTGGAGTGTTTCGTAGGATTGAGGCACTTGTCAGAGCAGGCGGCCCGACAGGGATTTTCTCAGCCCTGGGTTGTGGTCGCAAGAGTTTTCAATTAGATGCAAGACTGGATGAACTTTTGGAGGCCCTGCGAAGTCTGGGCCTAGGAGATGGGTCAAGGTATTGCCGTGAGACTGGAGCTGTCGATGTCCCGGTTGTCAACGACAAAGATGAGCTGAGGCCATACCGGGCACTGGATCCCTCAAGGCTTAAGCTTACTGGTGAGGCTCAGTGGGATTGCAGGGCATTTTTGTCTGACCTGCTCTTCATGCCCTTTGTGGAACCCCTCATCAATACGTTTGACGTCGAGCCTCCCTTGGAATTTTGCCCTGATTTTTCTACAATTTCAGAGGATTTGGTGGTTGATCTGTGCAAAGTTTGGGATGTTAGAGGGCTGCTGAAGATATTCCCCCGGTCCTTCGGGCCTGAAACTGAAGTGGGATGCACAAAGGTCTTCAACAATTTCAAGTCAGCATCTACCGATCGTCAGATTGGTGACCGCCGCTCCCAAAACTTCAGGGAAGGCAGGATTCAGGGACCCTCAGCAAGTTTGCCTACTGGGTCTGCCTTGCTTGCACTAGCTCCTTTGCGTTATTGTGAGCAGCTAATTGGATGTGTGGCCGATAGACGAGACTTCTATCACCAGTTTCAAGTTACTGATGAGAGGGCGGTCACAAATTGCTTGTATCCTACAGTCCCTCTTGCAAAGCTGATAGAGACTAGGGCTGCAGCAGTTTTCCATCAGCAGTTTGTTGCGAACAAGAAGGCGAAGAGCCGGGAAGAGCATGGTGACTTTCTGCATGGCCCCCCCGTTTCTCTCTGGGCTGATGAAGGAGCAAAGGTTTGTGTGGCATTTGCTTCAATTTTCCAAGGTGATCACCTTGGGGTAGAAATAGCCACAGATGCTCATTCAAGGTTGCTGGCTGAACATGGGCTGCTCAATCACGGTTCAAGATTGCTGTCTGGTGGTGCCATTTGGGAGGATCGGTGTGTTTCAGGCCTGGTGATTGATGACTTCTTTTGCATTTCTTCAGAAAGGACCTCTACGCCCAGAGATGAGGCGGCCTCAGTTTTGCAGTTTGTGACGGCAAAACAGGTCTACAAGGAAGAAGGCTTGGTTGGCTCTGACGACAAGGACATCATTGGTGAAGATCGGTTCAAGGTGGTAGGAGCTGAAGTGGTGTCGGACATCCCTACTGTGCGTAGGGGTGCCGTTGTGGTTGGCGCCCCTTTTCAGAAACGCCTTGGGCTGGGGCTGGTCAGTGCGCTGGTTGCGCAGAGCCGTCGAACATCGGATGCTTTGCATGCTACTTTGGTGGGCTCATGGATTTCAGTGCTCACTTTTAGACGTCCAGCAATGGCATTGGTCAATGAGCTTTTCAAGGTTGTTCACCCTAGCATGCTTGATACGGCACAGCCTGTCTTGCATAGGCTGTCGCATGATGCTGCAGAGGAGCTCCAGCTTTTGGCAGCCCTGGCACCAGTTTTGGCTTCGAATGTGGCTTTACCGTTTTCACCCACAGTCTATGCAACTGATGCCTCTTCATTGAAGGGAGGCATAGCGGAAGCCAATGTCCCTGAAGAACTGGCAAAGATCCTTTGGCGCACTGCTGATCATAAAGGAGCTAATTTGCCCTTGCTGTCAAAACCAGCAGCAGTCCTCTATGAGCATGACAGAGACTATGAGCCTGATTTTTCTGAATATCAGGACAAGCCTGAGGCCAGCGATGCGCAGCATGCAGCCATTCCCAGACCTATTGGCCTGAGGTTTCAGTTCCTGGAGATTTGTGGAGGTGCAGGGAAGGTCACGCAGAAGTTGGTTAAGCTTTCAGTTGTTTGTGGACCGGTTTTTGATTTGAGCCACTCCAAGCACTTCAATTTGGCTGATAGCAGGGTCTTGCAATGGATCATCTTCATGCTCGAGTCAGATCGGCTAGACAGTTTTCTTGTGTCTCCTCCATGCACTACATTCTCCCCTGCTGCCCCTCCTTGCGTGAGGTCTTATAAGATACCGAGGGGCTTCAAACAAGATCTCTTCAAAGTTTGGCTGGGAAACAAGCTGGCGTTTGCGGCTATCACCTTGCTTTTTGTTGCGCTGCGGCTTCACAAGCTTGGCATGGGAGAGCAGCCCAGGAGGAGCAAGATGAGATGGTTAGCTGAGTGGTTGCGCCTCCTTGCCATGGGGGCTGAAGAAAGTTTTGTGGCGTCGTGCTATTTTGGTAGCCCTCACCAGAAGGAGTTTTGCTTTGTGGGGGTTCACATGCACATGAGGCTTTTGTCAAGGAGGTGCACAAGGGATCATCAGCATGTGGTCATCCAGGGCCGATACACAAAGCCCTCTGCCACCTATACGGACCAGTTGGCGGAGCATTTGGCCCAGTTCTTTTATGACCATTTGACAGCTGTGCAAAGGACTCGCAGACGCCTGGACCTTGATGTAGGTGGCCTCGAATCTGTTCTGTCCAATGATGTTTTACAGGGCTTGCAGTGGGAAGCAAAAGACTCATGGAAGTGGAAAGGAGCTTCTCACATCAACTTGCTTGAAACATCTGCAACGCTGAAGCTGTATAGATGCCTAGCACTTGAAGGTGGTGACAGCAGATTTGTGTACTTCGGTGATTCACACGTGTCACGGAGTGCATTGGCAAGAGGGCGTACCTCTTCACTTGCCCTTCGCCCAATGCTCAAGCGGGCGGCAGTTCTTTGCTTGGGTTTTGGACTTTACCCTGCTGGAAGGTTTGCACCAACAAGATTGAATCCCGCAGATGCACCCTCCAGAGATGGGGAGATTGAAGAGGCAGTGCAGCATATGATAGCCAGATCTCTCTCTCCTGCCGAAGCCTCTGCCCTTGCATTGCTGCCCCCTCTCAAGAAATGGGCTGCGAATTGGTGTAGGCTTGTGTGTCTCCTCTCTCCAGCCACTGTCTTTCTCCTATCCATTCCTTCTGAGGTCAGATCAAATGCCAGCTTCCCAACCCAGGACTCCGAGTGGACGATGGACTTCGATTCCACCCTGGGTTTCCCTGGAGAGGGACCACAGCCGTTTGGATTTTCACTCTTTTGGATTTTCCTTTTCACTAGTTGGTTGAGTTGTGCCACTGTGGGGAATCCTAGGGGCGCTAGCCATGGCGATGCTGCGCGCATGAAAGCCCGTGCGGGCGTGATTCTGGAGGATGGGCGAAAGGTCACGCAGACCACCAATCTGACGCGGGAAAAGCTGTTTGAGAAGTTCTGCTCATGGTTGTTGGAAAGGGGTCTCAGCATAGAGCAGCTGTTATTCACGAATGCAGTTGACATTGACCAGCTGAACAAGATACTCTGTGAATATGGCAGGTGGTTGTTTTCCTCAGGCAAACCCTACTACCATTATTCGGAAACGCTGAACAGTGTATCTTCTCGTAAGCCTGCAGTGAGGCGCGTGATACAGCAGGCTTGGGATTTGGCCGCAATGTGGGGGGCTCATGAGCCAACTACGCACCACACTGCAATGCCGTTCCAAATCCTGATTGCCATCATCAGCATTGCCTTCTGTTGGGGTTGGTCAAGAGAAGCTGCAATCTTTTCCCTGGCTTGGGGAGCCATGCTCAGGATTGGAGAAGTCTTCAATGCAACAAGAGCTGACCTCATCACACCTGCAGATGTAGGAGGTTCCATTGACTACGTGATGCTCCGCATTTGGGAGCCCAAAACAAGGTTCCGCGCTGCCAGACATCAAATGAGCAAGATGGAGCAGCCAGATTTGATTGAGGTTGTGCGGATTGGCCTGGGCGACTTGCGAGCTGACGAGCGATTGTGGCCATACTCAGGCCCTACTCTGAGACTGCGCCTTACCAAGATTCTGTCAAGGCTTGGTCTTCCAATTAAGGGAGGTGGAAAGCCCCAGGCTCTCTCGCTGGCCAGTCTCAGGCCGGGGGGAGCTACTTGGTTGATCACACAGACAGAGTCGGCGGAACTAGTACGTCGAAGAGGAAGGTGGGTCAGCTACAAAGTCATGGAATGCTATCTGCAAGAAGTCACGTATATGACTTACCTCAACGAGATTGACCCAGGTGCGAAGAAATTCATCCTGCAGGCATTGAGAGCTTTTCCCTCGCTTCTCAAGGCCATAATTAAATTCAAAAGCTGCAAGATTCCTGAGAACACGTGGTTCCTACTTTTGAGCAAAAGCCCAGACTAACAGCACAAAGCAAGGGGTGACTGGGAGTGATGGCACAATTTGAAATGGAATGGTGCTACAGCTCCACACGAAACTGCATACGCAGCAGTGAAAAAGCTGAGCGAGTGTTGAATCCTTGCTTTGGTAAGGATGATTCACATGTGGGTTTTTCTCATCTCAAGCTTCCCTCCGGCCTCCCCAAACACCTCCGTTGCTGGGCTTTTGCATGTTCGCTGGCACAATTTGAAATGGAATGGTGCTACAGCTCCACACGAAACTGCATACGCAGCAGTGAAAAAGCTGAGCGAGTGTTGAATCCTTAATTAATTATGGATAACTATGGATAATTATGGATACTTATTGATCATCATGGACAATTATAGATAATTAATTATGGATAAGCATGGATAATTATGGATAATTATGGATCTTTCCATGGTTTTTTGTATGTTTACCAGGTCCAAAAATTTCCCAAGGATGAGATGTTTGCGCAGCTGGCGGAAGGCGAATCCAGCGACTCCACTGCCTGGGAACCCATTCAGAGTATGGTCTCTGTGACTCCCCGGCGGTTCGATGGGAAGCCGATTTTGGGAAGCGGAGGGAACTACCCTCTGGTAATTTAACGTAGCTATGGAAAATGGCCATAGAAATAGTGGATTTACCCATTGATAGCATGCTGATTTTCCATAGTTTTTGATAATGTTTACCAGAAGGTATTCTAATTCATGAAAAATTGGAAAGGAACTTCTATTCCAGGGAAACCTTTGCCGAAAAAACCATTCTTTGCAGGCTGTCAAAGGTCCATGTAAATTTTGCCTCAACCATTCTTTGCAGGCTGTCAAAGGTCCATGTAAATTGGAATCGAACATGCGTGTCTTTGGGTAATGTTGACGTTGCTGGAACTTTAATTGGGTTTACCAGCTTCTCATGGTAGCGCGAGGATTGCCATTCATTTCGGGACATCTTTTTTTCTTTGTTTTCATGTGCATTTGTTTGGTCGCAGCTTGCGAGTTCAGCAGCTTGACCACCTTTAATACACATTCATGCTTGGTCTGAAGTCTAGTTTTTGGTCCATGCTATAATTCAATTCGTAGATCCCTCAATCACCAGCACTCTGCCACATTTTCACCAGCAATGTCCAACCAATTGACTTGGTGAAGTGGGGCAAGTGTGGCACCAAGTAGCATATATCTACCAGCCTACCATAGGTGATAGTTATTGGAGTTATAAACCACTGTTGGGGGCCATCACCTTTTACTCCAACCAACATTTCTAGTGACACACTTGTTGAGTCCCTTGAGTCTATCCTAAAGTGTTGACACCACCTGCAGGTTGGACCCCAAAAACATCGTGGTTTCCCTACCAGAAACCATAGACAAAGCGTAGACAAACCATCGTTAACCTAGTTATAAAATGTTATAAACCAAGTTAATCTAGTTATAAACCATATGATTCACCTAGTTTATAGACATTTATAGATGATCTTCCTATTAAAACCGCTTATTTTGTTGGTTGGGGAATTCCCCAGCCATGTTGGGATGAGTTCTATAAAGCATCCCCAATCATGGTAGCTTAATGGCCTTGGGTCTTCCACAGTAGTTCACCTAGTGGTGTGGGTCTGGATCTGGTCTACCTAGTGAAAATAAACTTTATATAAACCATAGTTTAACCGTTTCAACTTAAACCCATAGAAACTATAGGTATATTTAGTTCATTGATTTCCCAGCTATATATATATATACCTAGAGGACCAATTGACATAGAAATTTGTGGTCGGTTTTTTTTGTGGTTGTTTCCCAAATTTCTAGTTGTTTCCCCAAAATGTGGTCGTTTCCCCAAAATGTGGTCGTTTTATTCTTAGATCCCAGCCAAATTCCTGCAGCTCCCCTTTCCAGCCCACAACCACAGCTTCTCGCACAACATCAAGAAGTTCTTTCCTTTCACCCGTCGGGTTTCCAAGATCTCGCATCGCCGAGGGCCATGAAGGCCAGGGCGCAACTTCCACCATGTAACTCCCAAAGTCATCAACACAGATTTTTTTTATCTATCATAATCGTTTCTAGATCAGCTTTTGGGATTCTTTATCATGTGGTCACTGGTGGATCTTTGTAGCAGTCATCAAAATTACTCATCCATTGCCTACGGTAAAGTCCCAGACAGCTCGGTAGTTCGACTCGCAGTAGTAGCTGTATGGCAACGTCTGCTCACTCTAGCTATTCGTCCAATAAAATCCTCACCTGCCATGTCATATTGACGGCAGGATTTAAGGCATATTGGCAGGATGGATCGCGCAGTTGGTGTTGTAAGTCAAGCCTTAAAGTGCGTTTTGTTGGACAAAAAAAAATGTTGGTCAAGATCATCAGAAACATAGACATAGAACATAAAAACTACACCTAAAGAACCCAGGGACACGATGTGGGACATCATGTGGAGTTTTGGCCTAACCTGGTAGCCGTAGAATCCAAGCTTCGCTGCCAATCCCCCCAAAGTTGAATACCCATCCTGGAGAGAACGAAACATCAAAGTAGAAACGACCAGTGGCATTGGATAATATTTTGAGGGTTTCTTATTGGAAGTTGGTGCCTATGAAAATAAAACAGTGCCTAGTGACTGTCAACTGCCAGCCATCTTTCACAATCTGTTCAGCCACCAGCCGTGGTATCCAAATCCCATGTGCGTAGATGGCCCTCCAAAACCGATCGTTGGCACAAATGCTGGTTTTGATCACGGCCAAGATGTCTTTGAACCTGCCTTCCTGTATGCCCAATGTTTTCCCTTCAAAAATATTGCATAATATCGCATATCCCCAACTATATAATAAAAACAGGAACATACAGGAACCATCTACTATATATATATACCAGCCAAAAGTCAGCTGTTGGAATTGACATCCTTTGCACTTCTTCAGCCAGCCAAGCTCCCAAAACCGCTGCGTCATGACCCTTGCCAAGGCCACGTGGAAATGCATTGAGCCTCAGATCCAATCCAACGCCCGGCAACCCAGTCACATACGGTGGTTTCTGGATTCTTTGATATTCTTTGTTGGTTTTAGCCAGAGAAAGTATTGGCCCCCACAACAATGAGGTTCAAGATCATATCATATCTGTTATTCTTTGGACATTATTATAATATATTGTAATATATTGTAATTGTAATCCCAGGGGTGTCCCATAGAAAAATGTCCTAATTTGATGAACGGTGCGAATTTTGTGGGAGCTTGAAGGTGGAAAAGCTAAATTCAGAGATGCTGGTGCTCTTCTTGTAGGCATTGCAATAGGCAATGAAGTTCGCATAGGCGTTTTGCCAGCAATAGGTAATGGGTCCATTCCCGAAGTGCCCAGCCCTTGCTAACATGATGATTGAAGATGCGAGAAAATCTTTGCCGATACCATCTATAGCAAACGTATGGGCTGGGTCGATTTTGATGTACTTAGTCGAATCCCCAAGATGCAAGTCCCTCAGTGGGCTTCTGTCACCCGCCTTGAAGGGACTAGGGTGACTCGCTTCCGGTGGCAAGGTCTTCACAGCGCCCTTCACATCCCACCAGTCCTCAGCAAAGGCGCCAGTCAGTTAAGGGCTTGGGCTGACAATGTTTTGGGGCAGTGAACCATAATGAATTATCAAAGAGTTCTGGGGGTGCAGCACAACAAGTCACAATAAAAAGACCGGTTCTAATAAACTAGAGTCTTTGATATCACAGCGGTGGCACTTATCCGTGCAGTTGAAACCCACAGAAAGTGCAAAAGCAGATCGAAGAAATGGCCAGTCGCCCTTCGTGGCAGTGACTACGAACTTGAAGTGGTATGTTCGCCCTTTCCATTCAACCTATGCTAAGCTGCTGGGTTAGAAAACAGATGTCGTGATAAAATTGGGGCCATCATTTTGAAACTTTCAATTTGTCTAAAATTTCAGGGGAGAAACAGTGACGCCATCGTCCTCAAGTTTATTCAAATCATCCTTCAGAACTGACAGCAGTCTGTGGAAGCTCTGCTTGGTGTATGGTGATGGCAGGATGGCGTACAGCAGCCGAGTGCACAAAGAATGCCTGGACTCCCAGAGGGCAGTGATGGAAAAACATGCGTTTAAACAAGTAGAATAAATAATTCATCCCAAGACAAGACTTAAACACATGTGTAACTGTTTAAACATTTAAAAATCTTTCAGGATACCCTTGCATGTTGGTCTTCTCACCGAGCAGTGGTAAGATAGGCTGTACTCCAATGATCATTATCGGCTGTTTTGCTCTTCCCCGCCCCTCATCTCCGTGGATTGCTAGCGGAATTGTGCATGACCAGGAGTCTTCATCAGCCCCGCCCCTTTCAAAGAATGGCAGTTCGGGGTCAATAACTTTGTAATTGGACCAGAATGTGAACAACTCGTTCTTGAAGGAGTCAATGTGGTCCAAAGACCGTCCACCTAGCAAGAAGTGCCCTCCGTAGTTGAAGATGGTGTCGATCCAATCTGTTAAGCGTAAGATTGGGTAGTCGCACAAAATTTGGCACACTCTCTTTCTGGAAGTGCGGATCCAACATTTCACTGTACTAACTTTGACAGGTAGACACCTTCCAGTACGTTTCACAAGCCTGTGCAGCTTTGCACGCGAGTGAGAGTCAGCCTTTCGTTTGCCACGCATCGCCATTTTTTTCAGAAGAGGATCTGTGATGCCTCAGTTTTGTGAGCGATCTCAAAGATTATTTTCTGAGTTCAATATCTTCTCAACAGAAGGGCTTTGGCTGGGCACTTTTGTTCCAACACTTTTTCAAATCGAAAGTTTCAAGTGATTCTGCTTTAGCCTGCTTCATTGATTTTATGACCATACCACCCAACAGTTTTCAGCCAAGATACCATGTTTTCGTAGTTTTTTGTTGGCGACAGTTGCAAGCCGTACCACACGGGCAGCTGTATCGGCCTGAGATCATCAACAATAAGACCCTTTTGAGATCATCAACAATAAGACCCTTATGAGATCATCAACAATAAAACCCTTATGAGATCATCAACAATAAAACCCTTATGAGATCATCAACAATAAAACCCTTATGAGATCATCAACAATAACATCCCTATTGTTGACAGGAGTCCCGTTTAGAAAATATCAGTGAGCCAGGAAACTCCTTCCTCCAAGCCAACCAAAAGCTCATCCGCCAGGTCTGAGTCAGTCTCATCTTCGCTTCGTGGGCCTATGCAGTATGCAGCAGGACTGGAATCCTACAGGGATTGGGTAAGGCATGTTGAAGCCAACGCCAACCCAGCCTTGTACTTCTTTGAAGTTTCGGGCAATGATCACATTATCCCGGGATATACCTGCGAAGGGGCTTTAATGGGTTTTACCTCTTTGTTTGTCGTTGGTGGTGAGTGTTGTTGGGATATGTTGCCACTACATTTTTGTCTTGACAATCTAGTTGCAACACCTGAATGGATTTGGTCTTGACAATTGTGGAAAGTAAGAATCATTTTTCCTCCTCGTTGCTCTGAAATCATTTGCCCTGCTATCGCGCAGGCCCTGCAATCCTAGGAAGCGCCAAAGTGCCCGAGAAATACTCAAGTATTCCAACCCCTACGCAAAGTGGCTGGCAACTTCTCATTGCAAGGTTCCACAGGTAAAGGTTTCTTCACCAGTCAAAAGCACAGGGCGTATATCCCATAAAAACAAACACATTTTAGTGCTTGCCTCAGTCTTTCTTGACTCTGGCAGTCTTAGACTTCACAGTCGCCTTGGGTTTAGATCCCGGTGGCTTGGCTCCCGAAGATCCCGGCTTGGTCGAGGATCGCGGGGCACCCTTCAAACTCCTCGACAGGCCATACCCCAAGTTGGACTGAGGGTCGGATTTTGGTTGGATTGGAAAGTGGATTGGGGATCGGATTTAGGATTGGGTTGGACATGATTGGACATTCCATTGGGGAGTGGATTGAGAAACTCCATTCAGGTGATTACGGGGCAACCGTTCCCAGTGCAGCTTAAGTCTGTCAGTCCTGGAGCGGACCACCAAGTTGTTCAAAGCCACGTCGGTTTTGGTGGCTTCAGCGCAAAGCTTCAAGATATTCTTCTGCGTCTCTGGCCTGTTATATCACATGGACATTTAGTTCAATACTTATATCCTAAAAGATGCAGAAGATGTACGATTGCACAGTATATTTGTTGCGAATAGATTTGTTGCTCCATCCTACCTAGAGGTTCGGGTCGCTGCAAGATCTCCCTGAAGTCCTTCCAGCTTCTCATAGATAGTCTTCATGTGGTTCACTTGGATGCCAATTTGTTTGGCAATCCTGAGCCCAGTTGGGAAAGCGGGGTAGGATACCAAAGGAATGTCAATTACCCAGGATAATGCAAGTAGATTTTGGACATATCTAACAACTTTCAACTCGAGTTGAATCTAAGACCTGGACTCCTTCGCTTGTTGGGATGGGACAGTAGCCAACTTCTCCTCGCATGTATGTGGATAATCTAAGGGAAACCTAAAAGGGAAACTGATTGGGTGTACATGGGAAGGAACAACATTGAAGTAATGTCGAAAATACAAAGTGCACTTGATACCCCGGCCCAGTCCAGAACAGCAGCCGTGTTGTCAATCTTGCGGCCACACACTTCAATCCAGTGGGGCAACACTGTCAGGGCCGATGCATTCTCTTGGATGGTGGGAAAGGTAAGCCTCGGCTGATATTTTTCTGTTGATGCCACATGGAAAATGGACCATAAGGGGTCACAGGGGCAGACTATGATATGCCAAGTAGCTTGAACGAGCCCGAGCAAGCTGCAGCATGATCCTCAGGCGTGGTACCATCACCATCATGGGTGTCCATCTTCAGCAAGTCCAGGCCGGATCCAGTCGGGAGCTCATCCGACAGGAAGTTGCCATGTTGGTCCTTGGGTTTCTGAATATGTTTTATGGCTTAGACTTAGATAGGCATAGATACGGGATTGAATTTAGTTTTTTAAAGCTGTAAGGAGAACATAAATTTGTCATGACTCCTCAACTGTCATTGAGCTTGACTGTTCAACCACCTCATCTTGGACATGGTCATAGGTAAAGCCATCTTCCAGGATCAGTTTCGCCTCTTGTTCACCATGCATCGGGTTTGTTCTGATCAGATTCTGTTTCGACGCCCACTCGAAAGAAGAGTCGGCCATCTTCCTTAAAACAGCCATGCAGCGAATCTAAATAACTATAAAGTGGCTATCATTGATACCAAACATGCACATGTTGCAAACACACAGTATGGGTAAACTACGGTAGGCTAAGGGCTTGTCTTCGTCCAGCTCATGACTTGCTGTAGGTAATGCTTGGTCACCCACCTTCCCTGTCTCCTGTGACCTATTGAAGTCCGCTGCTGTCGCTTCAGCGCCACCTCAACATTGCCGAAGTCCATGCCATTCTTGATCATCAACTCCTTGAGCTTTGCTCCTGGGATGCTGTAGGACTTATAGATCTATAGCAGGCAAGTATATCATTGTTTTCAAGACATTTCAATAACACCACCAGAGAAGATTCTTGTAAAAAAAATGATAAGAACACATGATGACTTATGTGATCTTGTCTTGTGTGTTATGTTCAACCTAGGCTGGGGAGAAGGGTTTTAATAAAGGCCAAGGCACGGCCATCCTTTGTTTTCCACAAATCCAAAGCAGCCTTGGAGCACTCGCCCTTCTTGATCACGCAATGCCTTCGAAGCCTCAGCACGACAGAAACATAAGCACCATGAGCACCCTGGTGAAGGGGCAGAAGTTAAACAAAATGATATCAAGAGAACCATTTGGGCTAGGTAACTTCCAGTACAAGGAGTCCTTCTCGTGGCCCCCTTTTGCAACAGTGGGAATCACCGGGGTGGGAGAAGCTTTGGGGACAGGCTTGCGGGGTGTGTCCATAACCGTCGTGTTCGCAATTTCCTCTGCCCCATCATCACCCACTTCAGCGAATGGATTGACATAGGACTTATCAATGGTGTCACCTCCAACTCCAACGTCATCTCCACCTTCACCAACTTCTTCCCCAGACTCACGACGATAGGTCATAGGAGTTTGTGCATTTTGCCATGGTGTGGAGAAGTCTGACTCGGTGGTGTTCACACGTCGAACACCATGGCCTTTCCCACGAACTTTATCAGATGGGGTAACTGTGCCAGCTGGATACTCCCCCGTGCTGTGAGCAATGATGGGAGCACCTAGCCCAACGTCTCATGTGTTTTGGAAACAATGAAACTGAACATAAGTTGAACACTTGAAGCACAAACAGCTTTGACATGAACACCAACCCACCTTCAACCGTCACCACATCATCATCATCATCATCATCATCATCAACATCCATCGGTTCCTGGCCACACTCACGGAGTGAAGTCCTCAACTGTGCAAGCTTCTCTTGTTGAACCTGAGTGTTGGGGCAGTAGAAAGGTCATGTACGCTAAAGGTTAAGCAAAACAGAGCACATATGGAAAAAACAGGGGATCATGAGGTGAAATGCATTAGCTAAGTAACTCGAATTAGTTCGTCGATGTCGAGGCTCTGGTCTTGAGGCTTCTCCGTATGTGATCCAAGCATGGTGGTACCGGTTTTAAGAGTCTTGCAGGAAGCAGACATAACAAACGTGCTCACAAGACTTAAAGCTGCTTAAGCCTCAGTGCTGCTGCCTGCCACAAGAGACAGAGACGGAGACAGAGAGACGCAATTCATTCGCAAAAATTGTTCATTTGCGTCAAAATCCTTCAAAATCCATCTCCGAACTACGTTGTCGTAAATTCCGACATGGTGACAGTTTCGACCTCCGAACCCCAAAAATCTACGTTTTCTCCGTTCGAAATGCCGAAAAACTACCACTTTTTGAAATTGCGCTCGAGTTGCGCAAAATTGTGCTCGAGTTGCGCAAAATTGTGCTCGAGTTGCACTCCGTTTTTCCCCATTCTTGCGTCCGAAATCCGTACGAACTCCAAAAAGTGACCGAATTAATTCGAACTCAGTCATTTTTTTGAGAAAACGGTGTTATTCTCCGAATTTCTCCTCCGAATTTCTCCGAATTTCCTGGATTGGGCTACGTTCAGCCAAAGTTGCAATTGAAAACTGCCCTGGGCCCCATGTCAAGCGTCCGAACTGTCCGAATTGGGCTGCCGTCAGCCAGGTCGATGTCGTATTTGAACATATATTCAGGGCTGGTGAGCTGACACCTTAGATAAAGATAGAAAACAATTTTTATTATGAAGAAGTAGCTTGAAGTAATCAGCTATCAGCATTCATTTTTTTGAAATGAGGGCCCTTTATGCTGTCTAGTTTCCAACTCCTTGTGGAAGTTCGACATCACGCTTTGCCACTCATCGGGGATCCTGCGCAGGCAGTGGCTGGAGATGGTCAAGTTGTGGGGCTTGCTTCAGGCATATGGGTTGGGACTAAACTGGACCAGTTGTGGAAAAAAGGTTGTGTGTTTTGTGATCAATACTATCCACATGTGTGGTCCTCGTGTGGCGGCATTTGTAGACATATTCAAACACTGGTAGTAGATCAGCATCGCGCCAGCAATCACCGAGAGGGAGTTGAGTGAACAGTTGGACGGGGCTTTTCTCGTGGTCTGGTGTTAAATTCACCCTCAAATCACCTCTCGGTGGACGTTTCAACTCCTCCATATAGATATCATGTAGGGATTGGCCAAGCCCTTCCGGATAGGCCCTGGGCATGCTCGAATGAGGATATGTGTTTCATTATACAATAAGTATGATTAGGTATGCACCAGTGGCCCCACAAAACAATGCACATACGAATAACTGTGGCCCAGGGTCTGTGTACTCTTGAGCTCCTTCTTCTGGCCAACAAATCGGCGACGCCCCGCTTTGTCAAAGTAGCTTCCTGGGGCAGGTGCCACCCCAGCACACAAACTGATATTCTAGTTTGATGAAAAGCGTTGCAATGCATATGGCATGTGGCCTCATTCGAAACCTTTCAACCTTTTGGCACAAAAAAAAAGATCAGATCTTACAGGGGGACCCACCTTGAAATATATTGAAATTTGGGGGTATTTGTTATGAACAAGTATCAGCTTACTTTCAAGGTGGGTCTTAATGTTGCTATGGTTCGGGTTGTTTTCACTGTTGTTTTCGCCATTCGCTCAGCATGGGTCATCTTCCCTTTGTCAAGGGCATTCATGGCCGAAAGGTTTCCCCAAAAAACGGATCTCTTACTCGATGACCCACCATGGTGTAGCATCCAGAACCGGGTGAAGAAAACCTGAGTGCTGCGTGTCCATGGATGAAGGCCCAATAAAGGTTGAAGAATGTCTACCTGTGGGAAACTATGGGTTCAAGTACTTTGAATTTGAACGAGTGATTTTTTTGAATTCTCCCATCACCAAGAAACCCATGCCACCCGGTTGCAAAACCATTCGAACCTCTTGTGCCGAACGAGAAGACTCGGAGCAGGTTGCTCTAGTAGGTAGAAGCAAGATTGCGACACCACAACTAAAAGGCACAAAGTCAGCCTTAGTAGACAGACTTGTCGAATGTAACTTTGATAAATGTCAATGTTTTTTAAGTCCAAAACTTTGTGGAAGCTTTTACAAGGCAACCCAGAAACCTTGATATCATCATATTGGCACGGGCCACAAATCCATAGGCAACATATCCATCTGGATTAATGTATGATCTCATTGAAGTGCCGCGACAGGGGATCCCCCAGCTCCCACAGTCCGGAGCCCAGAGTGAAAGGGCACGTGGGGCCATGTTGAGGATCGCATACAGGATCAGCCTGGGCAGTTGGAGAATGGTAATCAGAAATTGGAAATAAGATGAAATAAGTAACGATTCAGATCAGATCCATATCGAACCCAAAGTGCTGATGAGTAACAAGAAACCACTCACGGATAGGAAGTCCATGTTTTCCTTGCTGTAGTCGTAGTCAAAGCTAGCCACAGTGTGCCCCAAGGAGTGCCTTATTAGATATCAGAATTCGGGGTGCAATTTTTTTTGTTGGCAGAATAAACGGAAATACCACACATATCTGCACTGCACTCTTGCAGGTAAAGTGCCATTTTTGTGACACTTTCCCCATCCCTGAGAATACCTCTAGCAGGGTGTAGCCACGTTCCCATGCCAAAGAGCAGTTCCAGGAAAGTAAGAGAACCTCACCCATGCCGAACATATTCTTCGACCCGTTGTTTCAGAAACATCACATGCACTCAGGCAAAAATCAAATGGCTTGTTATATGACTCCATATGACCAAATTAGGGTGCTGGCTATTGCAATCAGCACCTCAGAAACATGTCCAACCGGTAAGGGGGCATCATCTTCTTGATCTTGTTGCGATACAACACTAGGATTCGAGCTTTTGGGGCTTGTACTTGTAGCAGCGTTGTCACTAGCCGCTTGGTCGACGGAGGAGCCATCCCCAGAAAAAGTGTTTCTTTGCGCACTCTGATTTCAAGCCAAATGCTATGAAGCAAAACTATTACAGAAGGATGATTTATCATGATTTATCCATGTTTATCCATAGCTATGTTGCTTCACTGCCATGTGCAAAAAAGTTGCAAAAATGTTGCAAAGGGGTGGTCGCACCGCTCAGGCTGGCCCTCACAGCCCAGCCATCGGCCATGGGAAATCAAAGACACACCTGATCGGCTCGTCAAGTGTGGTGGGTGCAAAAAATGTAATTCAGAAATAATCAGAATGGGGTGAATTCAAAAGAAGACCTTCTCAGAACCAAGCAAATTGCTTATGAATCTTTTGTACCAGCTTTTCACGGTGCCAACATGATCGAAATGCCAAACACGGCAACCCACGCGTTTCAATGACCAGCTCTGTGGCTGCTCATGCCACGTGGCCCCAAGACCCATATTGAAGCCTGCATTTTCGAAATCTTTTGAATATCAATCATATTCAATCATATATCGAGTGCTATTTTCAATCTGATCAATTGGAGAAGTTCCACACCCGTTTTGGTTTTTAAAGGAAACAATGAGGCTTCAGCTAACACCCCAAGTATTGGTCACTGACTCCTCAGCCTTCAGTTCGCATCTTTGTATGCCTAAGCTGATTGCAAAGCGTGTTTGTTTATTGCATCTTGTGTATGAAACAAACATGAATTGTAATGAACCATGTTGCACACACATAAGACTTCAAACCGGAAACGAACAAAATTGTATGTTTAAGACGTGTTGCCCGCTTGGCAGCCAGCACAGCTTCTTCCATGCTCTTTCCATCATCCAACGCTTGTTTTCGAGCCTTCTTGTATGCGCATGACTTTCGGGACAGTTGTTTTTTACGGTCACTATCCTTTGTAGCTTCTTCAGTAGCGGTGTCAGCCTTTAGATTCTCCTTGCTCTTTGTCTTCTGCTTTCTCTTGGGTGCGGGCTCACTGGAAGCTTTCTTCTCCTTAACAACCTTGGCCTTTGCCTTTGCCTTTGCTGCAGGGGCCTTTCTGCTAGGTCGCTTCTCGGCCTCAGACTTGACCTTGCTGGTTTTGCCCTTTTGAGTCTTCCTAGCTCTGCCACTGCTGACATGCTCAGAGTCATCCTTGCATTCATCCTTCTCATCCTCATCCTTGCTTGCATCGTGTGTCAGTTCATCTTCATGTTCATGTTCATTGTGTTCCGGTTCATTTGCATCACCCTCATATTCTGCAGTGTCATGCTCATGTTCCTCTTCTGCTTCTACCAGCGCACGCGTAGAACCTTTCCTCTTGCGCTTTGTTGTCTTGGCGCCCGCTGTTGACTTGGACCTGGGTTTCTTTGCTGCAGGCTTTGCTTTTGCTTTGGGCTTGGACGATCTAGAAGCTCTACTCTTGGCTTTTGCCTTTGGTGCCCTAGTGGGTGGACGTCCTCGCCTTTTGGGATTGGCCTGCTTCAAGGCTGCCATCTGTTCAGCTGGGGAAAGACTGGGCTCCTTGTCTGCCGGGGTCTGCTCAGAATCCTCATGGGGGGCTGGTGCCGGGGCTGCTGCCTCTGCAGGTTCTGTCTCTACTGGGTGACTGTTCACCTTTTCGTTCATACCCTTGGCTGTGTTTGCGCGCTCTCCATCTGAAGGTGCAGAGCCCATAACTTCAGTTTCTGACAAACGCTGACCCTGGTATTTGGCCCTCAACTCTTCAGCTGGATCATCAACGGTGATTGCCTTTGGTAACTTCTTCGCTGCCTACATGTGCCAATACATGAGAACATGGAGGCAAGAAACTTATATAGAGAGGAATCATGGGTTGTCTTCGAAAACACTGCTTGACTTCAAGACTTTGTTTTTGTTTGAAATCTATGAGCCTCAACTGCCGCTATGTGTTGGATCTCCTCCTCGCACATCGGCAAAGTATCGGTGACATCTGGGCCTCAGACGCGTTCAAGAACGATGTTGATATGGATTGGTATTAAGTACTGTGATTCGGATTGAAATTCGCGGACATTGTATATAATGATATCATGCATCATTACTTTTGGGAGGGGTACTTGATGTTTCGTACACCAGCCATGCGTGAATTGCCAGCTGCACCTGAAGTAACAACACTGGTATTTCAATCTTTGCAAACAAGAAACAACTTTTGTTTTTGCGTGCAATGAGTGCTGCTAAGCGATCCCTTTCCTCGGCCATAGCCTTCAGGAGCTGCAATCGCTTGAGTTCCTTATTCGCCTTTTCCATCTCGGAAATGACATTCGAGGCAATCTGGGATGGAGTCTTTGTCACTGGCAAGGGTGTCTCACATTTCTCAGTTTTCCCACTTTCTTCGGTGAACTCAAGACGCTTGGGGCATGGTGTGTTTTCCAAACTCTCCACCGTATCACTCAACTGGTGGCAAAACTTGCACATGGCACATGATTCTACCAACCTGTGTTTTGTGACTTCATCCTTGCACTGCGCAAACTCGAGAACCTTTCGATTCTGATGGTAAGATTTGCAGTAGATGCACACCCAAGCACACTTGATTGGTCGATGGCAACTCTCTTTGGTCCCCGTCTTGGGGGAATCGTTGCCTTAGATTTCGGCATATAATGGCATAGATATGCATAGATCATATACCATACCAATACGATACAAAAAGTATCTACTACTGTAAAAAAACACGAATATATAAGCACGTAAATCTTAGTGAAGCACGATTTTGAAACAACGTAACGCCATTGTTTGCCAAAGCGACTCTTGCGAGGCGGCGGTGTCACCAGCTTCTCCGAAGGTGACACGCTGGTGCTCAGGCTCGGTTTCCTGGTTTCTGGACCTGGGCGAAACCCGGAAAGAACCAGAAAGAATCCAATACTTTGCGGGGATATGGTGCATATTGTCTTTACGTATGTATATGATTGTATTTTACGTATGTATATGATTGTATATGCAGGTATCAGGTCTCATCCAATCCCAAAAGTCAAGACAAATTAGCCAAAGAACGTGGGTCACATGGTTCCTTCTTCAAAGTTGTAGCCAACGAAGGTGAAGTCGCAGTCTTGTCCTTGAGATCTTTATGTAAAAATCAAAATCAAAATCAAATGGGCTATTAGACATAGTGTGATTATGAAGGATTGCAGTCCTTAACTTCTACTTCTTCTGGCTCAACCACCTCATCGTCAGAGAACTCCATTTCGGTGTCTTCACCTTCCAAATCCTCCTCGAAATTTTCACCAGGTTCTCCTAGCCAACAAATGGGGAAGATAGAGCTAAATCAGAATTGTGAAACAGCATGGAGTATTGTGGTGTATGATAAACCTTATGAACTGCACATACTTGGTCCTTCATGTGTTTCTGCAGTCTCATCAGCTTCAACGGAACCGAGAGTAATCCCAACAGCACCATAGAGGTCTCGGAGGCCTTTCTCCCGAGGGGTATGGGGCCTCCTTGCCACAGCAGAGAACATACTCACCAGGCGACGTAGAATCCACGCCTCTGTCTTGATAGCACCACCTGGGATAAAGAATGTTGAGGGACAAAGTAAAGGATTGATATGGATGGATATGGATAGATATGGATGGATATGGACGGATACATTCAATCAATGATTGTTTGCAATCTATACTTTTCCTACATTTTTTCCTGTCTAGGAACTCTTTGGAAGGGCCTTCCCTCTTGGGCGTGCAAGATATAGAAAGCGGGCAGCCACATCGATCATCTGGTGGATGCTAGGTCGTGTGCCTGGGATGACTGCGACCGACATACTCTCACAGAGGCCAGCCTGATCACAGTAGAGGAAACAGGTGGATTTACATATGGATATATTCTTTTGTATTATATATGTGTGTGTTGGCCCCAAATTTTGGATGAAAAATTACCACATGGCGAATTTGCTATATCAAAGAGTCCCCAAATTGAGCCACACCCATATTAAGAGATTGAATACAGTATTTAAACCAGCTAAGGGGCCGAAATGTTCGATCACAGGGTACAGGACTTCAGAGTTGTCCGCGACAGCTTCACGCGTCAAAGGAAGTTTCTTAATGTCACAGATTTTCCCATCCCCCCCGCGCGTCACCACAGCATCGAGTGTCAGCCATCGCTGAACCACAGGGCATTCTACACACCCCTTATTTGTCCAATCGTCACCCAGGGATGAGTTGGACATCCAACCGGCTAGGCTACCCTGGGCAACCAGCCGCCAACTACTTTGAAAACTTGAAGCCAGTGCTGTGAAGGTAGGTAAATGTAAAGAGGTGAAAGTGTTCAGGGATCAAAGTGTGCATTGAACTGTCTGGCTTTGCCAGGCCTCATTATGGAGATCGATGAAGCATCAAGGGCAGTACCTGGAAAGGGCAGTGGACTGCGTACACCTGAGCAAATACACAACTAAAAACATTCACACATATTCACACTATGTGTAAAGACTTGGGGGCACGTTGAAGAAGGCCACAATTTGTGGTTCTTGATGTTGAAATGGCAGCGGGGGCTCATGCTGGCCCGAATTTCTAGTCGTTTCCTGAAAAGTGGTCGTTATTCCAATTTCCAGTCGAATTGCCAATTTGTGGGTGCTTTCTCAATAAGTACTACGAAAGTGGGGTCTACCACAAATTTATAGTACGAATGGCGACCCAGGTATATATATATAAACATCTCAAAACCTCTATTTTTCCCACTCAAACATGGTGATTTTCATGGTGATTTTCCAGCTATTGGCTGGGGAAATTTCCCATGGTCCGACTGTCTGTCTTAGGTGAACTTGAATCTGGGTGGTGACGAGGTGCCCGGCCACGGCAACGGCGGCTTGCTCTGGTGCGGCGAAGTGGCGAACGGCGGCGCGCCACGCTGGGTGCCCGCGCCAAAAGCTTCGGTGATGCTCGGGTTTTGCTCGGGTTTAGCCATGGAACATGTCCCATTTATAGATGGTTTACCTGGGTTTACCTATTATAAATGGTGATTTTCCACAGAACATTGGGGGATTTCACTGATTTCACCCAGAAAAGTGGTGTTTTTTTTTCCGCAAGAAAACCATTTGGGAAGTTCAACTGACACCGTTTTTTCGGGATGAAATCCCTGCGAAAGTGGGATTTTTTCGCAAAGCTCAAAAAATTTCACCAATGTTTTTAGCGATTTTTTCGCAAGCAAAACGATGGTAGAATTCCCATACAATGAGAACATCATGGGCATGTGATGGGACAAAGCCAACAAGAATGGGAACGTCATGCAACCAACAATAATGTTTTTTTTGGGGTTTCCTACAGTGGGTGACCCCAAAATCATCCAAATGTGTCAACATGATTTTCGGAGGGGCGCCTCAATCCAGCTAAGCCACGGCCATATGGTTTAATACATGATTTTCCAAACATGATGAGTGCCATTTGGGGTGATACCCCCCCAAAATTGGGCAAACCCATGTTGTTTACCTTGGTTTGCCCATTTTTTTTAAAGAAGCAAACCACGTCTGATTTGACTCATGGTTTACTATTTTGTTTTGGCAAGAACATCTTTTTTGTTTCTTGAGGATTTGAATGATTTGTATATTTCCATGTCCATTTTGGTAACGAAAATTGAAATTTGCCATTTTTCTGGGTTTGTCATAATCCCGTCCCCGCAAAATTCCACATCCCCCCAAAATAGGTTTTTTCTTGAGGATTTACATGATTTACAGCTGGTTGGTGGTTTCAAACATTTTTTTTTATTTTTCCATAATATATGGAATAATCCTTCCCATTGACTTTCATATTTTTCAAGATGGTTAAAACCACCAACCAGACAGGATTTACATATTTAAGGGAGCATCGAAGGTGAGTCGGGTGGCACTCAGGATTATTTTCCGCATCAGCAATCACTCCTGGCACGCAGTGAGTCCTGGACGTCGCGAACCCACAGGTGTCGGCGAGACTGGGGGATTGCAAAGAGGGCTGGACTGAGCTAAGCGGTACAGAAAAATGATGGGAACAGCCAAAACTAGGGACCCCAGTCATCCACATTTCCTAGATTTCCTAGATCCATATCCACAAAACTAGGTTTTTTACAGAACAGGTTTCCCAGAAAAGTCACCTGGTTTGATAACTCGGAGATGTCTTCAGGTCGCCGTTCCCATGCGATAAGGGGCCCTGATGGTTGGTGTTTCCGAAATCTCGGTGATCAATATCCAATTCTGCTTGGTGAATCCTTCGATTCCTGTGGGTGAGAATTATATATCTATATATATATATCTATGCACGCATATATATATATATACACACAGATATATATTATATATATATATATCTAATATCATACTCGTATATATATATAATATTATATATATATGTAAAATATCTTTACCTTTTGCTAATTTCCCCGTGCTCGGCAAGACCGCTGTTTTGCCGCTAAGTCACACTTGGTGGAGAACCACTCATCAGCAGGTTTGGTTTGGTCATAGCCTTTTAACGAAAAGTAGATCTGGCAAAGCCACTACGTGCAACCAGGTCATTTTTCTTGGGGAAACCCATGAGTATAGCAACCTTGAATCCAGCCATTCATCATCATTTTCTCATTTTCCCCGTCTGTCACTTTTTGCAGCCATATTCAGATACACCGACATCATATTCTTATTCGTTGCATCACCATTAACGATCAGGATGATATCCCCGTTTCAATGGTTAATAGTGGTTTAATAACCCCAATATCTCCATTTCAGTAATAATTTTGTTATGATAATAACAGTAATTATTATGATATAACTGATACCAACAATCACAATAATGACAAAACCTATAGCATTAACAATAATAACACTAATCATAGTAATAGCAATAGTGATACAGTAACAAAAACACACACACAGCAATGATAATGATAATAACAAAAATAACAAACATAACACATAATAATCGCCACTATATGGGTTAGTAGCTTGTTATATCGCCATTTTACCCTTGGGCCCTTAAGCCGGTTCCCAACCTTCGATACGGCAGGCGTGCGGCTTACTCTGCAAATTGTTTACGCTGGCAAAGTGGCCCGGGCAGGCGCCAAGATCGAACATTGAAACGACATAGAACAAGATGTATGACGTGTACTATATCTCTATCTCCTGAAATACACATAATTGACATTCTGGTGATTCTATATGTGGTGATTCTATATCATATTGTATATATATACATATATATATATATATATATGGTGCATTTTTTTATTGTCCGGCATTTCCTGGACCTTGAGGCGCCCCAAGAGCCATGGGTTATGATCTGGGACAAAGACTTCCTGAGATCTTCGAAGGACGCGCGGTCAGTAATGGGGACATATGAGCTATGGTCAATACTCATGGTTAATAACCATTAATAGGGGCTAGTCATCCAATGGTTCATAGGGATTTATAATAACCATTAATAGGGGATCCTTATTATGGATGGGATGACCATCAACCATATAGTGAGTATTGACCATGGCTCATATACCATATGGATCAACATGGATTTGATACCCGCCGGAAACTCATCTTGATGAAAGATATGAAAGGTGCTTGAATGGGAAACTCATCTGCAAATGGGTGATAAATTTCCATTGCTAGTTTTTGGATTACCGGAGGATAGTCCTTGTTTACAGGGGTTTCAAACATCACACATGTAGGGATAACAACCTGATACATGATGGATGGTTGATGATGCAAACGCCGCTGCGCCTGGAGTTTTGGGTTGCTATCAGAGGCGTAAAGCCAAGAGAGGAAAAGCAAAGACATGGCCAGTATCGGTCAACAGGGAACCTTGAAGTCTGAGAAAAACGTTATTAGATGGGTATGGGTCAAAATTGGGTACCCCAATAATTAGATGGTCAATAATAAATATATACTTAAATCTGTGGTCCCTTCTGGGGCTTTAACTTTGACCCGTACCCAGATACCGCAGCAAAAAAGTTGGTCAAAAGTCGCCTGAAGACCTGACAGGTGCAAAAACCTCCGGAAAAAACAGCTGTTTTCATGTGAAAACCGGTCTACCGGCTACCTCGGGCATGATCGAACAACGTGAAAAACCTTGCAAAGGAATTTGGGTTCATCATTGGAAAAAGACACGTTGGTTCGCAACCGTTGAACAAGATCGAAGAGTCATTTTCTAATCACTTACTAATCACTTACCCAAAAATTGGAATGGGATTTCCAGGGACTTCCACTTTTCGGCGCATTTGTTGGGAGTTGCGACATGGCGACGCGAGAGAGCGTTTTTTTTGCTCAGGAGAAAGTCCCGAACTCCCGCCGACTCCGAGTGCGTCGAGTTGGGAGGACCAGAAGTGCCATGATATGCTGCCAACGAAAGGTGGAACGGGGCAATGGAAGCTGGTGGGATGTTGCACAGGATTCTACAGGATACATCGTATTAGAAATCAATAGTTGTGGATATTGTGGTGGTTTCCATAAATATATAGCTGGATGGTTTAGTGAAACATCCAAAATAACATATAGGATTTGGGGGTACCCCCATAGAAAAGCTCCATATCTCGACGGCGCGACAGACCACAACTGCGAGTTGATGTTCCTCAGCGCACGCTCAAGCCTGGACGGGTGTAGCAAGGATGCCCTTTGGCAAAGTGCTCCTTGGTCGATGACTGAAAAACCCTTGACATCAATGAAGGAAGATGCTGTGCAAATGTATATTGACATATTCATAAATGACTATCATGATTGTTTAAAATTCCATTTATGGTCTTTTTTCTTATAATGACTTATAATGACAGTGATTATATATATATATTTGGTTGGTGGTTTCAAACAGCCGTGACAGCCCAAGCCCTTACCAGTAGTGCGGCCGTTTCTTAACTGATCGCTGGGCGGTTCTGGTACCCCCTTTTCTTGCCATGTCTTCGAGCTACCCCATGGCCATCGGTACGACTGCTTCTGGTTCCCAGATTGACATCGTTTGTTCCATCAAGGTTTTCGACATTGAGCATTCAGCACACCTCATGATAGGAAGGGACGGGACTTCTTTTCTGCTTGAAGGTTTACTGAGTGATGAGTTTCACTCCTTCACTGTTTGGGGTGGCGTTTTGAAACAGCAATATCCCATTCCTGTGATTGTTTCTACACGTGACACTATTATCATGGGCCACCGACGACCTTCATGGGACTCATTGTTGTCCGTGGTGGACCTTTGCTCAGGGTTCGGAGGTTTGGCACAAGGTGCAGTGGCATCTGGTTTCACAGTGCAAGTTGCCGTGGACCAGAACCAACGGATGTTGGATCTCTACTCCAAGGTTGGAGAGGCCCATTTGATCTGTGGGGACGTGGGAGACAGAAATGTTGTGAGTGAGATTTGGCGCCATTCCAGTGGTGCTGCAACCGTTACCTCGGGATTCAGTTGCCAGCCCTTTTCCACTTTGGGCGATTGCAAAAGCCATGAGGACGACAGGTCTAGTAGTCTCACCAAAACCCTCAAAACGGCGTACTACTTGCAATCTCAGTTGATCATTTTGGAATGTGTTGCCCCAGCTTCACAAGATGGTTTCGTTCGCAATGAGTTATCCCATTTCATGAAATGCACTGGTTTCCATTGCGCACAAACTGAACTCAAGCTTGACCATGTATGGCCCTGCCGTAGACATAGGTCGTGGTGGATCCTGTCATCCCCAGACATTGGACCGGTAGAGCTGAAAGCCTGGCCAGTTCTGCAGAATATCCAGGAAGTGCAACAGGTTATTCCAGACATTAGATTGTGGGCTTCCAATGATGAACATCAACTTGCTCTTGATGAAATCGAACTTGAGGCTTTTGGGGTTAATGATGAAAAGCATTTCAAATATTTGCTCAACGGGAAGGGAAAAGCCCCATGTGCTCTTCATGCTTGGGGATCTCAGACCAGAGCTTGCCCATGCGGTTGCAGGAAGTCGGGTTTTTCACATGCTCGTTTGGCCAGCAAGGGACTCCATGGATGTCTCACTCGCAGTGCTCAATTTCCAGATGGATCGTCCGTCATTCGACACCTGCACCCAAATGAAGTGATGTGTTTAAACACGTTTGATCCTGTGATTGATTTTGGAACCGACGTTCGTCTCACCCTTTCGGCAGTCGGCCAGATTGCTTGTCCGTTGCAGGCATTATGGGTCTTCGGTGCCATATTGGAAAGACTTGATGTCATGAGAAATTTTCCTTCATTTGACTCAAACACCCAAATCCAGGCTTACAGGTCATGGCTCCTCATGAGATGCAGACAGGTGTGGCCAACGGATGCATGTTTGATTCAAGATCAGAAACTTTGCGACATGATGATGTTTTGGAAGGAACTTCAACACCTATCGCTCCTTGAACTGGTCTTTCCACTTAGATGGGAGGGGAAAATTGATGGCACTGTCAGTATTGCTTCCATTCTGGACTATTTGATCCGAACCCATATGGAAGTCAAACCCACGGTGGTTGAAATTGATGGCAAGTCTGAAGAAGAGGAAATTCCAGTCTTTGACTTTCCTGCCATTGTTGATGACCCCAACACAGTTGGTTGCATGTGCGCCGACTCATGCACGGTGGTATTCAAGGGCAGTGCTGACCCGCCAATCCGGTTTCAACTCAAGTGTGGCTCAACAGTTGAGCAGTTCTTGCAAGCCCAATTTGGTCTCACTGAGCATGTGGATATTGATTACATTTCCCTGAATGATAAGTGTATCAACCGTGATCATGTGCTTGAGGTGGGTCAATTGATCGTCATTCATGTGAGTGAGAATGTTCCCCCAAGAGCCACCCATGAGATTGCTGTCTCTCCAACTGCGATTTGGTCTCAGCCGGCAATTGAAACACCCATTGCTTCTGTACCGCAGAAAGTTTCAAAATTTGATGTGGGTGAGTGTGTCACACCAACCATGGTTCTGCCTGATGATCAAACTTGGCTCGACGCGTCTGCCTTGCAAGGCCTTACGGGTGACCAATTCCTGAAACTGCAGGTTCCATGCGTGTTGAACGCACAACAGCTTTGGTCGCTGCGTCACCAATTCCTGCGCACGTCAGACAGAATTGCCATCCTTGAGAGCCAGATGCAATTTTGGGCCGACGATGAAACCAGGTTTCACTTGAACGCCACAGTACAAGCATGCCAGGATGCCCGTGTCAAGGCTGGAGGTACTTTCCCTGAGATTTGTATGATTGACCCCCTGGTTTTCTCTGCGTGGGTTCAGAACAAGGGATTTGATGTTGCTTTGTGGGCAAGAGATCATCCTGAAATCTCTACCAAAGGGGTGCCTATTGTAACGGTTGTCCTCCTGGCTGGTCATTGGGTACCACTGTTCATGTCCCCGGTGAAAGGAGTCCTCAACGTCCACACCTGGGACGGAATGAATGCCTCACATGATGGTCTTGAGGGGGTCATCACAGCCCTTTCCGATGCTTTGGGTTTCCAAGAAGCAATGATTTTACGTGAGCACCGATTGTTCTTCACTACTGAGCTCTGTGGGGCTTTGGCCATTGCTTTCATTCGGCACGTGCTGATTGGGACGCAACTTCCGAGTGACTGCACCGATGCAACGGTCATCCATGCGCGATTGAAAGAGGCATATACCAAAGAACTTGTAAGATGCCAAATTGCCCGTCGCCCATGGATCTGGGGTGCGGGCGACAAAACCGCAGGAACCCGAGTCGCAGCTAATGATCTGCAACTGGCGGTGAATATCACACGTGACCAAAGAATTGATTTGATTAATGAAAAGGGTTTCGCCATGGGTGATGATGAAGTCAGGTTTCACCTTTTGAACCTTGTGGATAACCAGCCAAATGCTTCTCTGCCTATTCATGAAAGGAAATTTGTTTCCATGGAACCCCTGGTCTTCAGTTGCTGGGATTCTATCGGGCATATCATTGCGAGTCAGTGGTGCTTGAAGAACCCACAGATCTTTGCACATGGACAGAATGTGGTCACTGCTGTTGCGGTTGATGATCATTGGTTACCCTTGTGGATGGTCCCTGACGGGCAAACCCTCCAGGTTCACACATTCCAATCAGACGTTGACTTCACTCCGGTTGAAGCCATCATTTCCACATTGGCCGAAAAGCTGGGCTTTAGTGCTCATGTCATCCACAGGATCCCACAAGGACTGCCGGAGCATATGATGTGTGGGGCCCAGGCCTTGACCTTCATTGCACATGTGATCGTCCACATGCCCCTGCCTGAAGATTTGCAAGAACTGAGGACTGTTCATACCAACATGAGGGCCTCATTTGTTGCACACCTGTACTCCATTGAATATACACCCAGACCTGTCGTGTGGGGTAATGGTACGCCACGGGAATCCGGGCAACTCCCTATAATGCCCGAGGAAGACCAAGCTGCTCTTGACCAACGACGACAAGATAGGAGTGCGATGTTAGTCTCACACAGCTATGCTATGGGCAATGATGAGATTGAATTCCATCTCCGACATATTCTTGAATGCCATTCCCAGGGTCCTCGTGTGGTCGGACCAGTCCGCAAGTTTGCCATGATTCCACCACTTGCTCTTGAAGCATGGAATGATGGCGACCAGACACTCATGCAAGATTGGTTCAATATCCATTGGATTCACAACCCCAGAGATACTCAGGTCATTGCAATTATGTTGGTGGATCAGCATTGGGTCCCATTTTGGCTTTCACCTCAAGGAGATTCTGCGCACTGCCATACTTTGGGGGATTTTGCAAATGATGACCAAGTTGTCACTCAAATGTTGGGGGACCTTGCCCACTTCCTTGGTTTCACTGATGTTATGATCCACCGAGTGCCACATGGTCTGGATGTTTCACGGTTGTGTGGAGCGATGTCCATCAGCTTCCTAGCACACATCGCATTGGGAACGCGCCTGCCAGTTGATGTCCACCAGTTGCGCACCAGATGTTGGAACATGAAGGAAATCTTTGCTGAAGCTATCCAACACTCCGATGTTGTATTGCCCACCAAGTGGGGATGGGGCGCCCCAGGGGAATCCAGGCTACTCCCTATAATGCCTGATGATGAGGATACATTGGTGTCTGTACCCATTGGGCTAGGGGACAAGTGCACGTACAGGTTTGGTAGCATGCGAGGTATGAGCCATCATGAAATGAAATTTCACCTTCAGAGGCTGGCTACTATGTTGCCTTGTACATTTGCCCTGGGCATTGCCCTTGACAGTTTGTATCATGTACATGCACTACTTTGCTCATTTTGGACATCGGAACGCCATTTTGGGGGATTTGCCGTCCTCTTTGATTTTCACTGGATTCCGATTGTATGTTGCAAAATTGGCCAGACGCTCTGGGTATGGATTGAAGAAAGTCCTGTTGCCAAGTTCCTTTGTGATTCCTTTTTAAATTGGAATTTCTCCCTCATGCCAGCCAGTGACACAATCTGTTGCGGAGCTTACACTTGGACTGTCCTTGCGTGGGCAGGCGGGCTTCACGCATGTGTCGATTCATGCATCCGTGCATGGCTGCACCTTCACTATGTTGGGGAAGGGTCTCCCAAAGCTGATGCCCTTACCGAGCGCTGGGGTTTTGGTCCTCAAGGACAGTTGACTAAGTCACTTGTGCAAGAGCTTCTGAAACATGGTATTCCTGAAAATGTGGTTGAAGACCGGGCTTTGGCAGCCATTCGTTCCCTTGGTAGTGAACAAGTCGCTACTGCCCTTGCACACAGACAGCCATGGAAACAATTGAAAATCTTGGGTACCAATTCCAAATTTCAGTTTGTTTTGCCAAGTGAGCTTGCTGTTGCTGTTGAGTCCAATAAAGGCAAAGCCGTTGGCTCGAAAGGGAAGGGAAAGGGCAAATCATTCCCTCTGCCCAGTGAACTTGACCCAGCTAAACTTCAGGTCATTGAAGGCACGTTTCACTGTGCAGGTAAACCCATCCCCCAATTGAACATGAAACAAATTGGACCTGTGAGCAGCGGTTTCATCCTTATTTCACTTCATGATGCTGAGCCCTACCTCAGAGCTGGAACCATTGTGTCTCGTGAACCACTTGCACTTTTGATCCTGCAGAAGGCAGGTACTGATGTCCAGACTGTGCTCCCGCACACGCCAGTCACTGTCCCATGCCGATGCACAGTCAACAGCGAACCCGTTTTAGCTGATGTCCTCGTTGTACAGCTTGGAACTGGTATTGTTGAGAAGGCCAGTGGTAATGCCATGGTTACGGTTGAGACCCCTGAAGTTGCCACCCTCAAAATCATGGTTTACAAGGATGAACTGAAAGGTGATTGGGACGACTTCTGTGCAGCTCCCATTCGATGTTTAGTCTCACTCTTGCCGAAACTTAAGAGATGTTTCACCACAAACTGCCAGTGTCAGGCATGGCACAATACCGAAAACGTCCCACTGCGAGATCCAATCCTTGATGTGTGGCGCCGCCAATTTCTCCGGACTGGGTTCAAGCCGTGCCCGGCATCCAAAGCTGAAATCTTCTCGGTGTGCCTTAGGATTCCTATGTGCATTTTGGAAGCCCTGCTTGCAGCCAGTGGCACTTCAGGAGCCTATTGTGAACCAAGGACTGCTGACGGCAAAGAGATCTTGGGAGACTACACGGTGGTGTGGACCCAGAAGCATACACCACAGGAGATGCAACATCTCATGCAAACCAATCCAGCAGTGACAGGATTGGCACGCTTAGGTGAACGCCGGGGGTTGAGAGTGCATGTGAACCAGGCAAAAGCACTTCACCAGCAGGTCCGACCAGACACAGTGTTCCTTCCGAATGGTCCTAAGAACTTGTATACTGTTGGCCCGTTTCCCTATGGAGCGGATAGACAGGCGGTAGCCAAAACCCTGCAGCAAGCTGGCTGGGAAAGCCGGCCACTCCAGCCAACGGCCCCTTGCCCGGGCCGTGGTACCATGTGGTCAGTGCAAGCAACGGATGATCCAGACCATCCAATTGTGGTCACCACTTGTGGTGAAATTGTCATCACACGTCAAAAGCCGGAACAGCAATTGCCAGCCAGAAGTCCCACTACAGTTGGGTCCGCGGCCACTTTGGCCCTGTGCGGTGCTGACAAAGCCTCCAAGCCGGACCAGGATCCATGGGCCACCAATGATCCCTGGAAGCAGTATCACCCTGCAGGTAATGCCATTGCCACTGGACCAAATGAAGGTCTACAACAGATTGAGGAACGTATCCAATCGGCTGTTCTCTCCAAGTTGCAACCTCCGATGGAAGATGACTTGCCAGATCGAGTCCACGCACTGGAGGGCCAAGTGCACCAATTACTTGCAAAACAACAAGGGCTTGAATCACAGTTTCACGATTTCAGTGGGCAACACTCCCAGCAGATCAATGCCTTACAGAACCAAGTCACGGCACAAGCACAGCAGTTGCACGGACACCTTGAAAGCCAGAACCAGAACATGCAATCATTGTTCGAGCAACAGATGCAGCAGATAAGAGGCCTGTTGGCCAAACGTCCACGTGACGACAGCCTGGAATGACTGCATGGCCAGGGATTTGGGTTTAAGCTTTGCTGCGGTGTTTCACTTTTGTTGGCGTGGCTTGTTTTCCGAATCCTGGGCCTCATGTCTGCTTGTTTCACAAGTTTGAGGGGTTTGACTGTGTGTCAAGGTACGTCGCTCCGACGAACTCCACGTTTATGGCCGTATGTTTTTGCCTTTGCCTTGATGTGTAGAATTGGTGAAGCCGCTAACCCAGGGCCTGTCAATCCAGATTTTGTGCTTGGGGCATGCAACCCATCCGGGTTGAAGGGGAAAGCCCCTTATGTTGTTTCACAGCTCGCTCATGGGGATTTGTGGGCATTTTCCGAAACTCATTTGTGCAGCCAGGCTATACATGCCTTTCGTTCCAGTTTGCATTTTGCAAGAAGCCCCTTTCCTTATTGCATTGGTGGACACCCCGTCCCTGCGCAAAACAACCGTGTCTTCCATGCCGCTTGGAGAGGTGTTGCTGTTTTATCCAAATTTCCGACACGTGAAGTACCACACATGATGCCGACACCCACTCATGCTTCATCCCGTACACTCATCACCACTACCCTGGTAGGAGATGTGTGGCTTACTGGAGGCACTGTTTATGGTGAACCAGAGAGTAGCACTTACCCGCACTATAAGGTTCATAACGAAGAGCTTTTACACCATGTTGCAGGACATGTTTGCCATTTGGCCAGTGGTCCGCGTTTTCTTGCAGGTGATTGGAATTGTGAGATGGGAGCACTGCCAGTTTTTGACGTGTTGGAAGCAGCAGGTTTTAAAGATTTGCAGGATCTTGCTCACGATATGTGGGGCCAGCCGGTAGCCCACACGTGCAAACACAGCACGAGGAAAGATTTCTGTTTCGTGTCCAAAGAATTGCAAGTTTTATTGAAAGCTGTTCATGTTTCACACGACATTTTCCCTGACCATGCTGTGCTTTCTGGTACCTTCGCAGGTTTCAAGCAATTGGTGCCTAGGACTATTTGGACCACACCGAATGATATGCCATGGCCGGCACATTGGGAAGTAGATCCAACGTTCTGGAAACAGTGTGACTTTGACCCTGACACGAAATACCAATTGCTTTGGCAACATATTGAAGATACTGCATGTAAGAGCCTCCCTTTTGAGGTTCCTGACAAATCCAAAGGTAGGGCTGCCACAAGACTTGTTCAGAGAAAACTTGCCGGCAAAGTGCCCCCGCCTAAGAAGGCGAGGCCTGGGGATGTTCAGCCTCACTATGTGTGTGCCTCTTTTCGCCATTCGCAATGGCTTAGACAGACGCGCCGGTTGCAGGCGTACATGCGGCATGTCCAAGCACAGAGCGAGCATACTGAACATGCTAGGCAAATTTGGGGTTCCATTTTGAGAGCCACTGGGTTCTCTCCTTCCTTTGTTGAATGGTGGCCCCATAACTCTCATGTTGTCCATGGCACCGTTTCAACTATTCCGCTGGTCCCACCGGAGTTTGCAGTTGTGCTGAATATTTATGAGTCCATGGTGATGGCCTTTCGAGCTTTTGAAAAGGAACTGCACCAAGCTTCTCGTGCGTATGCTAGGCAGCGGCGGGATATGGACCCCAACGTGATTTTCCACGATTTGAAAACCTTTCAAAATCGAGGCATCAATGTCCTGCTCAAACCGCAGCAGGCACAAGTTGAGCAGGTACACCCTCAAACATTGGAAATCGTTTTGGATAAGCCAGTTGCCTTTGACCTCAGCAAACCTGTATTCTGCTCTGGGGCGCAGCTTGACATCATACATGCTGAGGCAGATGCGCTGTGGGTCAGCCAGGTAGATTCAATTGAAGTTGGTTCCACTGTCTCACAACTGCAATGTAAAGGAACTGACGAAGAGCTTTTCAAGATGTTCCTTGAAACGTGGAAGGTGATGTGGGATCGTCATCGTGAGGTTTCACCAGGACGTTGGGATGTCATTTTGCAATTTGCTCGTGACAAGCTCAGGCGTCAATCTTTGTCTTGGCCAGCCATTGATGTCAATGCACTTGCGTACTGCATCCAGCACAAACGCAAGACCACGTCTGGGGGGCTAGATGGCGTGTCCCTGCACGACCTGCAAGCGTTACCGGTTGCTGCCCTCCAAAACTTCATCTACATGTTTGAACAAGCTGAAGACGAAGGCCTGTGGCCAGCCCAGGTTATTGCCGGCCGTGTCTCTTGCTTAGCCAAAACTGCTGAACCCCAGCATGCTTTAGATTTTCGACCCATAACCATCTTTAGCATCCTCTACCGTTGCTGGGGCACCTTTCATGCGAGGCATGCAATCCGTGCCATTGACCAGTGCCTGCCATTAGGCCTATACGGTAGTAGACCCCAAAGATACGCAGGTCAGATTTGGTCACAGATGCTTTGGTCCATAGAGATGGCGTATGAGCTCTCCACGCCATTGTGCGGGATCATTGCGGACATACAAAAAGCGTTCAACTTTTTGCCTCGTGCAGTGGTCATTGAAAGTTGTGCCCTGTTGGGAATCCCCTTTTCACTGCTGAGAGGTTGGTCAGGTGCTCTTTCCCTGATGTCACGCCGGTTCCAGGTGAATGGAAGCATTAGCCCCCCAGCCTACAGTAACTGTGGGCTCCCTGAGGGTTGTGCTCTTTCATGCTTGGGAATGATGGTTATTGACATCCTGTTCCATGAGTGGATGGTACACTTCTTTCCTCTCTGCCAACCCATGTCATATGTGGACGACTGGCAGGTCATTGTTGCAGATCCGCACAGTTTGCCTGGGGTGTTTCACTGCCTGGAACGTTTCACTGAGGCTCTTGACTTGCTTCTTGACCAGCGTAAGACGCATGTCTGGTCTGTCTCAGCTGATGGTAGGAGTTTTCTTCGCACACAAGGGTTTGGCACAGTGGCATTTAGCAAAAGTTTGGGTGCCCACGTACAATATACACGCCAGCACACCAATAAATGCCTCATGGACCGCATACACAAAGCAGGGCCGTTGTGGTCTAAATTGAGACTTTCTGCTTGCCCTTATAGGCAAAAGGTCCGTGCCATCAAAAGCGCCGCATGGCCCAGATGTTTGCATGCAGTAGCAGCCACCACCGTTAGCACTGCAACGTATACTTCTTTACGGGCAGGCGCGTTGAAAGGGCTCAAGTCAGATGCGGCGGGGGCCAATGCAACGGTTCACCTTGGCCTAATCGAGGACCCCACCAATGACCCGCAGGTGTGGGCAATCATTCAGACTTTTCGTTTGGCACGTGATTGTGGGGATCAACATAGGGTGGAAGAGGTTTTAGCAAGTTTGGCTTTGGGCCGCACTGACCTACCAGCCAACAGTATCACGCATACGTTGCTCACCAGAATCCAGAGCCTGGGGTGGCACGTGAATGAAAGCGGTCATATTGTTGACATGGTGGGAAGCTTTTCACTCTTTTTGATTTCCACTGCAGAACTGCAGTATCGTGTTGAAATCCACTGGCCTTTGGTCGTCCATGCTCTAACGGAGCACCGCCCGTGTTTCCAGGGCTTAGATCGTGTCGACCCAAGAGACACGAGAAGCTGGCTTAAGTCCTTGCCTGTCTCAGACCAAGCTTTGTTTCGGAAACTCCTCAATGGTACTCACATAACCCAAGATGGTAAACAATATTGCCAGGAAAGCAATGATGATGGGTGTAGATACTGTGGGAACAGCGACAATCGTTTTCACCGTTTCTGGCTCTGTGAACATTTTGAATTTGCGCGATCCGATATTCCGCCTCATGTGCATGCTATGTTGCCTGATCTTCCTGAAGCAACGACGTGTTCAGGGTGGTCCCTTGCGCCTACCACCCAACATGAGTGGAACAGCTATTTTGCCCAGCTTGTGCCTACACCCATCCCTAAGTTTGATTTGCCATGTAAGTTGAACTTTTTCACGGACGGTAGTTGTCATCTGCAGCACTACCCCAACAGGCGTTTTGCGGGTTGGGCGATCGTGTTTGGAGACACAGATGCAGTGCATGATTATTCTGGCAGTACGATCGTTGACTCAGGAGTCTTGCCAGGTCTGTTGCAGAGCTCTGTCAGGGCGGAGATCTTTGCTGTTCTTAGAGTCATGCAAATTACACGATTTTCACCCCAACCCGTCATGATTTGGAGCGATAGTGAGCTTGTTGTGAAACGGTTTCGCAAGTTGCTTCTGGGGGGTGTCCAACAAAACTCAGCTCATTCTGACCTTTGGAATGAAATTTTTGAATGTTTGCAGGATAGGGTGGCAGCCACTGCCATTACTCATGTTTCGGCTCACAGGCATGAGGGTTCTGCTATGAATTTCCTGCAGGAATGGTGTTTTAGGCACAACGCGCTGGCAGATAAGCAAGCTGTCAGAGCGAATTTCCATAGGCCACAACATTTCTGGGAGCTTTTTGATCGACATGTTTGTGCCTGCATCAACATTACTGAGATCAATCGCATCATCCAGAGAGTTTTGCTTACCATTAGCAGGGAGGTTGTACGCCAGGAAAGTCCTATGCAGGATGACCAGATGCCACAAGATGCCACATTGCCTCCGCCTCAGGTTTGGAGACCGATTCCGACGTTTCACCCACCTGACAAGGCGATTCGATGGTACGGTGACCCGTTGGTAAGAACCATAGCCAGCTGGTTTTGGCAAGTGGTGCATGGTAGCAGAGAAGATTTGATTTGGGTTTCACATTTTCAGCTCTATGTGGACTTCATGTTGACGACGGGTGAGCCCGGGCCGGTGCACCAGTCCAAGTGGAGAAACGGCAAGGACATCCAGGGCATCCGCCTCCTGGGGTTTTCCTTTCGCCAGAGAGCACGTTGGTTCACAAAATGTTGGAAAGAAATTTTGAGACATGCTGGAATTCAGGTTGAATTTGCATACGGCAAACCGTTTTCACAAGTGGTGCAAATGTATACAGGCTGTGCAGCCCTACCGTGGCCTTTGGAGAGACTTTCAATTGCTGATGAGTGGATGCTCAGCAAATGTCACACCACATTTCGAAGACAGGCCCGAATCATTGATTCTTTGCCCTTTGCCGATGCCGATGACCGATTCCAGCCTTTTCTTGTTACAACTACGGTTGCTTGAGCGCCCAAGACGGGCAGCAGTCGAGACTACTGCTGGCCGCAAAAGAAAATGGGAAAATGGTGGTTTCAAACATATAATTTTTCAAGATGATTAAAACCACCAACCATATATTGCGCTCATCCCAGTGGGGGAAACCCTTTGGAAAGCCGAAAGGGGATGGGCCCATGGGCCCGGATCCGGATTGAATGAAAGCACTGTTGGAATATGAAAACAGCAACAGTGAAGTAGCTTATATGGCTTATATATGGCTTATATATGGCTTATATATGGCTTATATATGGCTAAAAAATGGCTTATATATGGCTTATATATGGCTTATATATGGCTTATATATGGCTTATATGATATTCTATACATATGAAGCAAGAAGAAAGCTTCGTTGCAGTGGGGAATCTCACTTCTTTCACCGGAAGAGGACTACGCAACATTCCGCTGGGGACTCTGAAGCGTGGCTAGTCTGTTGAGGCTAACTTAGATTCCCCGGAATCTATGGCTTCGAATTTTTGGGTATAGGTCACTTCAATTTGGTAATATTTGGTGTGTATATATATATCCATATATATATATATATCCATATATATATATCCATATATATATACACCTATTTTTCAGACAGAAATCGATGATTGCAGGTTTAATGAACATCGATGAAGTGCTTCCGTTTTTTTCAAGTTCTAATGAACATCGATGAACATCATACGTCCGTTGGTGATTGCATGTTGGATAGGATCCCGGGGAACTCCACACGTGGATTCGCTGAGGCTTGTTGTGGAAGTTGTCAGATGCCAAGCTGCAATAGAAATTCAGGTTGCGGCAGTTTCCGTCACTTTTGATGTTTATATAACACATACAGTAGTTACAAATCGTATGATATATATATATATATATACGTATATATATATATATACCCTCTGGTTATTTAACATAGCCATGGTATAGATGGCCCATTTATAGATGATTTTCCCATTGATACCTCCATTTATAAGGGATTTTCCATGGCTATGTTAAATAACCAGATGGTATATATATATTTATACAAACTGATAACAATACTGATAACAATCATTTTTTTTGCCATCCGTTGGGTCGTCCCTGAGTGCCTCAGGAATTTGTGGGCGCAGCGTGCAGCGCTGTTGCAGAACTTGCGGCCGATTCAGGACGAGATTGCAGGCAAATTCCAAGGATTTCTGGGTGAATTTGAAGGCAAAACCAGGATGTCTTGAGTAGATGATCTACCCTCTGGTAAATAAACATAGACCCTGAAAATGACCAATTTTTAATGGAAACTAGTCTTCCACCCCCTATCTGCCAGGGTCTATGTTAATTTACCAGAGGGTAAATTGATATAATATTTGATAAATCTGATAAATCATGATATAGAATGTCTAGAATCATGATAGATCCGATATATCCACATCTAGAATCCAGCATCTTGGGTGATTCGAATATCGCTATGAGATGCTATGAGGATGTCACTGTTTTTATAAAACCCGTCGGGACCCCGGCTGATGGGACTGTCATTCCCACAATCTTCCAATATCTTCCAATACTAAGCCACAGTTTCTATGGGTTTCTTATGGGTTTCTATGGGGGTGGTGGGTCACCCTGGGTCCCTAGCTCCACGAATGTGCGGTTTGAGGTTGGGGCCGATGGGATGTTTTTGAAGCTTTGTTGCTGGCCTTAGGTCGGCTAGATATCCCATGATAACCCATTTTTTGCATCCCATAAAACATCCCTATTGTTGCTGGTATACCTTAACGGGCGGAGTTCCGATCTTCGGTAGGGCCCCGTACAAATAGCTGTGTCGCTGGTGCATCTGATGCTTGACATATGGGGGGTTTCCTAAATGGGGGTACCCCTAAATCAACAATTTTAATAGGATTTTCCATTCTAAACCCATCCATTTTGGGAATTCCCAATTGATGGAAACCTCCATATGTTGACATGTTTTCCTTTGTATGTAATTGCATATGTGCGGACATACAGACATAGATGCCAGTGCATGTACATATTGGGCATGTGTTCATGGATTTGGATACACCTGTGTTTCTAGTCATTCGGTGAATCTGTCTGTCGGTCAGTCAGTGAGTCAGTCAGTGTGTAAACTTGTAAACGTGTAGATGTGTTTCTATGTTTGCGTGCGTGTGTGTACATGTAGTTGTATACATCCGCATGTATATGTATATATATATATATGCTGTATATGGTATATGTATACTATGTCGTATATATATATATATATACATACACATGTGTATTGTATGTAAAATAAAAGTATGTCATATCTAAAATGTAGAAGGTAGATACAAGTATATAGATAGTACGTAATATGTGATATGTAACAGGCAAAATGTAATAGTATTAATATTGTAGTATGCAATATGCGATATGCGATATGCAAGTTCAACGTGTACTATGTACTATGTACTAGGTACTATGTGCACGTGAATGTGTATGTGCTCACACATCAGCGAATGCTTGTCCACGCTTTTTGCGCGCTCGGAAGACAGGCTTCCTGGCCGTGGCCAACAAAGACTTCTCCAGGTCGGAGCTATGAATTGAGCAAATCCCAACATTCTTGAAAATCGCCAGGATGTCGCTATTGAAAATGGCTATTTTTAGTGGATTTTCCCATAAAAAATGGTGATTTTCCATAGTTTTTTGTATGTTTACCAGAGGGTAGCTATGATAGTGAAGTGGCAAACAATCCAATTTTTTCTCTGTCGAAGTACACACGACCAATGATTCAGACCAATGATAACTGCTCGATACTTCGACTCTTGCTGCTTTTCTTGCTGCTGTTCACGAATAATAGCATAGTTATAATTGTCAGTCAGCACTATCAACCACTATTAACCATTATTAACCACTATTAGCGACTAATGATTATTTACCCTTATCAACCATTACTTGCAATTATTAACCATTATATTAGCCATTAATCATGACATCAACCGCATTCACCACCTTCAGCGACTGAGGCGCTTGTCTTCCGGGCAGTGGATGCCTTTGTTGGCCTTCGGCACGGGAGGTTTGTCGGGACAACGCGCCAGTGCCGCGTGGCATGGTAAGATGATTGGGTAAAAGCGGGACTACCATATGAGGGTTTCCATAAATGGGGGATCCCTAATAGCTGGATGGTTGATTTCCATGGGAAAATCTCGTTAAAATGATTTGGAGGTACCCATATTTCAGGAAAGCACCATATGTCCTATTAGTCTTACATTTGAATAGGTGGTATGATGGTATTTCCATATTTCTTTAGCTAGGTAATCAAAGGAAGTTTTAGGAAGGACACTTCCGAGTTCCGAAATTGGGTAGCCTAATAATGTAAGGTCTGTACCCATCATATAGATGGTTAATACTAAACACAAGTCCCAAAATTTGTGGTCACTTCTGGGGCTTAATTTTTGACCCTTCTCTCCATACGATTGTATTTTCACGTCATAATATAAGATAGGTAATATTACGGACTATTAAGGGAAATAATAACGACAATGATATTACAGTTGTGGGATGGGTGCTCAACCATCAACCAGTTGACGGTTTTGGTTTATATCGTCACTTTCGTTCAGTAGCCTTTGATATCCCTATGCTGATTACATCCTTTTTTACCCCGAGTTTTGAAAATCTTTCCCACGATCGGGGATTTATATAAAGCTCCTAACCTTCTGATACCCGTGTTTTTCAGCAACGATTGACAACCATAGCGGCCATAGTGTAACAATAGGTATTTTCAAGTACTTATATGGCTACCCGTACTTCTTGGTATCGTAAGTGGGTTGGTTCACCCCAGTAACTGGACTTTTCCACTACTTTGCCTAGTGGATGAACTTTCGGTGAATCCCTATGTCAGCCCTATGTCTTCTCATAGAGCTACCGGGAAAGAACCAGTTTGCGAACTGGAAAATGGTGATTTTAATTCGTGGATTGATCCATTTTCATAGCATGGTGGATCTTCCTCTTCGTTTTTTGGGACTTTACCAGGCCGGGTAGTTGATTTTTTGTAGCGTTAGACCTCGCTTTAGGCATTTCCCCACCTCCATGATGAGACATTTCTTGCGGGTAATCCTCAATACATTGGATAGACTCATCATTGGTATCATCCAGTTTTATACTAAGAATCATTGGATTATACAAATGAGTATTTTTCCAAGATATGATTTTTTCAGAGCATGAAGCCAGTTTTATACATTTTTTCAGTATTATAGGGGATATCATATCATAACACTGATCAACACATCATAATCCCATGATATTTGAAGAGTCTCATCCCCTGTCATCAGCCCCTTAGACTTCCCGAGGACGTCATCTCTTACGCCCTGAAGACCGGCTACCGTCACCTCGATTCGGCCGCTTCGTAGGGACCCCAGTAGAAAAATAGCTGGTGCTGGATGATTCTCCCAGTCATATGGTAATCCCCATATTCTCCATATGTTCATATGATTTCATATGTATATCTAATATTAAAAAATAGATACTGCAGATAGATGCATCTCTGTATCTGTCATATATGTCACATGCCATACTGGATGAGACGCATGATTGCCGACATCCATGATGTTGGAGTTTTTGTGGCGATTTTTGAGGGGTTTCCGTTCAGCAGATTCAGATTCAGCGAGGTATCCCAGCTTTCCGGATGCCTTGCTTTCGGGCTTCCTCCACAGCGCTGTCCCACGAGAGGAGGTCTTCATCTCCACCAAAGTGCCCACCAGCGCCATGGGATTCGATGCCACGAAGAGATTGTTGGAACGGATGAAAGATGAACTGCTAGGGAACTATGCCGATCTGTGCATGGCCGCTTGGCCGATGAAAATTGGGAGGTAACAATTCAAATACCATCTGGTAAACGTTTACATAACTATGGAAAATCACCATTTTTAATGGGAAAATCCACTATATAATAAATGGTCATTTTCAATAGCGAACTGTTAAATTACCAGAGGGTAGGATTTGAGTTCAGGATTTTGACAAAAGGGTAACCACCGCAATGAACAGTCGAGGTTTATTAATCCGGGGTTGACATGAATTGCCGTGGATTTACTAGCCTCAAAACTGACATGAGCCACATGGCAGTGGCACCCAAAAAAGAAGCTTTGGAAGACGATTTTCTAGTGGAAATAGCAACTTTTCGATTCCACGCTTTGAGCTAGTATTATTTCCCAAACAACTAGTACAATCAAGTACTTTGTTGACTCAGATTCCCAATTGATACCCTCTGGTTATTTAACATAGCCATGGAAAATGGCCCATTTATAGATGGTAAACTGTTAAATAACCAGATGGTAGAATATGTTAGAACCAATTATTTGGATTAATGGAATATTAGAATCATTTTTGGGAATATTCCAATTGTTGAAATATGTTCGAATAGTTGCAAATCCGACTATATGGGAATCATTAGGACATGAATGGATTCTAGTATAGCAGAGTAGTTCCCAGTCCATTAATGAGTACGCCATGCAATTAAGGTTCAAACAAGTTCATTAATTACCCTCTGGTTATTTAACGTAGCTATGGGACATCACCTTTTTGAATAGGTAAATCATCATTTTTATCATCTATAAATGGGCCATTTTCATAGCTATGTTAGATAACCAAAGGATAAAAGGATCCAATTTTAGGATGAACTCCCGCAGGAAAAAAGTCACCGCAAAGTCTCAGGTGCACTGGCCCCAGTCGGCGGTGCCTTGCCAGAAATTTTAGTTGTATTTGCAAATGATGAGTTATAAAAAAGATATTTTTAAACATAAGTATTGGATGTGTTCCATAACTTTTTATGATAACAGATTATGAAGATAATGTTCCCATCTAATCTGGTTGGTGGTTTGGAACACGAATTTTATTTTTCCAAATATATTGGGAATGTCATCATCCCAACTGACGAACTCCATCATTTTTTAGAGGGGTAGGGCTCAACCACCAACCAGAGAAGAGGTGGCGCCACCTGAGAACGTGGATCCCAAGTGGTGGCTCACCTTGGAACGCGCTGGCACCTGGCAGGCGACGTAAATTTTTTCAGCGGAAATGGGGGGGTGAAACGGTTCAACAACCAGCAAAAACTTACCAATGTCATCCTATTTCATGCTATTTCCTATGGTTTGCCTAGATTGTTTCATTGGGAAACATCCAGCATCAATGGAGATTTCTGACATCAACTATGATGAATTTTCCAGCACATCATGGAGCTGATCCTCTTTCAGAGGACGGGTTGTTACTCTGAGCTTGGGCTTTCCATCGACAAGAACGCACGATCCGGAGTAGTTTTGAGGTGGATTTCGACGACGATGAAGGAAGGAAGAGATTGTACAATTCATCACAGCCATTTCTATCACCAGTTCCAGTGATTTTTGACCACCTGCATCCACATATTCCTCCCTGCAGGCGCTGGAAGCAGCCTATGACAGGGGGATTTGTAGGTCCTTGGGGGTCAGCAACTATTTGAAAAAACATCTGGAGGAGACTCACGGAGAGGGCCAAGAGATTTGCACGGTTGATGTTGATGTTGGTTGATGTTGGTTGTGGTTCTGTGACATACTAATGTTTCTATACTTATATAGGTATGTAAATACATGATGTTTTTGTATCCCAGTTTTGATTTGAGAATTCTTTGTTGACATTTCAACATGAAGCCCTTCGAAAAGCCTTGTTAAAGCTGTTGATGCCAAGTGGAGACGCCTGGAGTGGTCATTGCTGACGCGCCATCTGCGGGATGATCCTCCAAGTGTCATGTCAACAAGGCCTACCAGTTACCCTCTGATAATTTAACAGTTCGCTATTGAAAATGGCTATTGAAATAGTGAGTTTTCCCATTAAAAATGGTGATTTACCATAGTTATGCAAACGTTTACCAGAGGGTTTTTGCATGGTCATCCCAGTGAAGGGCTCAGGGCTCACCGATCCCATGGGAACTTGGGGAGACCATGGCCCAAATGGCAGCCATGGCACCCTAGGAGCTCTGGAAATACGCGCGAGTGAAACCATCTGTGAACCAGCTGGAGCCCCTTGGCCCTCGAAGCTGCGCGTATCGTGGGCATGGATTGATCATCGCCTCCTCAGGGGGTGAAACAAAGATCACGAAAAAAGCCAAAGCCAAAAACCTGGTTTCGGAGAATCCCACAAAAAAGTGTGGGTTATACCTTGTTCAAACTCATTCAAGATATTCATAGTTTTTCCTTGGAACGTTTTTTTCCTGACATTAGCCCTTCCCCCTGGTAATCAGCTCCATGGCTTGCTGGAAATCTCCCATTTATATAGATCGATGATGATATCATATGGAGGTTTCTTAAATTGGGGGTACCCCCAAATCATCCAAATTTCGTCAATTTTTGTATTGAACCCTATGGTTTTGGGGACCCTCATTTAAGGACCCCCCATATTTTCCCACTAATACAGCTTGTGGTTAGGGCTTGTCAGCCATGAAGCTGATGAAACTGGAGACCACAACTCACCAAGTTCTGTGAAGACAAAAACATCGACGCCCTGAGGTACACCCCCATGGCCCCTCTTCAAGATGCGCGGCAACCAAGTTGTGGGATAGACCCAAGGTTATCATGGCACCTCATTTTCCCGATGAAAAGGCCCATTTTTGGGGTTTTATTACCATACATGAAATTTTCAGAGAGTTTCCATACATGAGTTTCTGTAGCCAATCGGGTTTACGAAATCGTAGTCACTGACTGTACAGGATCACCCTGAGGAACTCACCCTGACTGTATCTGAGAGTCGGACTGGCTGTCCTGGCTATGTAATCTAAATCCAGTTGTGTAAGTTAATGCACATCTGCATTTGGATCGATATTATTCATGTAGATACTACATATTGTATATTTCTATATTTATATATAATTACTATATATATGCATAAAAAGCAAGGATAAGCCAAGAATCCTTGGTCCTGACCATGTCCGCCAAAACACAGGTTTTAGCCTTCTGCGACCAGCATGATGTGGCCATCTCGGTTCTTGGGCTGTGCATTGGGAGCCTTTTTTTCCAGGGCTGGTGATGTTCAGGGCCACCCGTTCCTTGGTCCCCGTTCATATTAAACACCCTCTAAATGGTCCCAATCTGTCCCAATTATCTCTAAATAAATCAGCATTTTTTTTGGGTGTTTGATATGGGAAAGGATTCTTCAAATGAGGCATAGCTTGGGAGGTTTCACTATTATGTCTCTCAAATCTGTGCAATTGGAGCTTTAAACCTTCAAGGGTGGGGGGGTTGAGTCGCAATTGTCAAGGCCTTTGCTTGGAATCGACCTCATGTGTTGAACCAAGAGGAGCCGCTTTTTTTTTGGGGGGGGTTTCGGAACGCCAAGGTAATGTCTTGAACCTCAAGACCTTCCAAAAACGCAAGAAACGGATTTTGATCTTCACATCTTGTTTCCTTTTTTTGCTTGTGGTTGATTCTTGAGATTCGTGCCATTGGACAATGGCTTCAAAAGAGATAATCGATTGCCACAAAACTCCACTGATTAGATTGGATTTCATCCTCGCGAGCGCACACTTTCAGGAGTTGCACGACTTGGCCAGAAGTTTGCTACCGGAGAAAGACTTATCTCGTGAACTGGTGATGAAGGCCCAAAAGTTGCGGGTCTTATCGATGCGGGTGTGTCTGAAGGTTGGGGTATACCTACAACCGGTATACTGTCGGTATACTCATTAAAATGGGTCATTTATTGGGAAGGATTTTCAGACACACCTAAATATCATATTGTTGGTGAATGTTCGTGATATATATATATATATCTATATCCCATTCTATTCCTATCCCTATCTCCATTCCAATGGTTTTTTTAGTTGATATGACCCGACGACTATATGCCACTATGGATAAAGATTTTGTGTAGTTCACAAGAAAAATCCCCTGATTTTCCCAATGACATATCACCATCGATGATGATCCCACCATTTTGGTGTTTAAATCCCCAAATTGGACACAGGAAAATCCTCTTAAGCTGCTGAAAAATCCCCCATTTCTTATTCCCATGAAATCCTGTGACTCATCCATATCGCTGATGGTTACCCTCCTATAAGCAAGCAGTTCGATGTGGAAATTCACAATTTTTACTCTAGCTAATCATATATCTGGGCAAATTATAACGACCTCACTGTTCTCCCGAAACCTGGAATCATGGTTTTTATATGGGGAATCATCCCTCACTAGCTGGCCCAAGATTTCAGGTTAGTGAATTATTATCATTTGCCCAGAAATATGGAGGTTTCCTGAAATAGGGGTAGCCTTTTTTATCATCCGTGTATAGGTGGATTTTCCTTTATAAACCATCATTTTCCCAGCATTATAATAGTAGATAACCCTCTGGTTATTTAACATAGCCATGGAAAATGGCCTATTTATAGATGGTTTACCTATTAAAAATGGTGATTTTCCATGGCAAACTGTTAAATAACCAGATGGTAACCCTTGAACCCCCTTTTTTTGGTATTGGATCTATTTATGTTGGTATCCCATTGGTATCCGATGATTCCCGTCCAGGTCTTGATGCGTTGGTTCATGGCGCAGGGCATGGCTCCCCTGTTCCGCAGCAGTCGCGAGGCAGGGGCCGTTGTGGTTGTGTTCTATCGGAAGTTCCATGGGAATGCCCATAGACATGTTTTTTTCATATATATATATTCCCAATACTATTCCATAGAAAAAACTATACATGATATATATATATATAAATAATTATTTGGGAATGTATTTTTTTCTGTGGATATAATGGGATATTCATAGGATCATGGCCGCTTAGATATGTTTTTTCCGTCTTTGAATGTTTGGACCAGCCTTTGGTCTTGTTTGAAAATGCGGGATACCCCCCACAACAGCAATTTGAATGGGGAAAATGATGATAAATCGAATTTAAACAGATTTCAAGGTTTGAGGTGTTGCAGAAATGTCGAACAGAACATTAAAAAAAAATCCAATAAGTTCATGGAGGTTCAACCATTTGTTTTTTGGGGTCGCCTGACTAGGGGGTTATCTCATAAAATATTACCACAAACAATCTCATGAAATATCCAATTGAATTCTATCTATCTATCTATCTATCTTTCTATCTTTCTATCTTTATCTATCATTCTTTATCTATCTATCTTCATCTATCTATCTTTATCCATCTATCTTTATCTATCTATCTTTATCTATCTATCTTTATCTATCTATCTTTATCTATCTATCTATCTACCTATCTTTATCTATCTATCTTTATCTATCTATCTTTATCTTTATCTATCTATCTATCTACCTATCTTTATCTATCTATCTATCTACCTATCTTTATCTATCTATCTTTATCTATCTATCTTTATCTATCTATCTATCTATCTATCTATCTATCTTTATCTATCTATCTTTATCTATCTATCTTTATCTATCTATCTTTATCTATCTATCTTTATCTCTCTATCCTTATCTATCTATCTTTATCTATCTATCTTTATCTATCTTTATCTATCTTTATCTATCTTTATCTATCTTTATCTATCTTTATCTATCTTTATCTATCTTTATCTATCTTTATCTATTTTTATCTATCTTTATCTATCTTTATCTTTCTTTATCTATCTTTATCTATCTTTATCTATCTTTATCTTTCTTTATCTATCTTTATCTATTTTCATCTATCTTTATCTATCTTTATCTATCTTTATCTATCTATCTTTATCTATCTATCTATCTTTATCTATCTATCTTTATCTACCTATCTTTATCTATCTATCTTTATCTATCTATCTTTAACTATCTATCTTTATCTATCTATCTTTATCTATCTATCTTTATCTATCTATCTTTATCTATCTATCTGTATCTATCTATCTACCTATCTATCTATCTATCTATCTCTATCTATCTATCTATCTATCTCTATCTATCTATCTATCTATATCTATCTATATCTATCTATCTATCTACCTATCTATCTATCTCTCTATCTATCTATCTATCGATCTATCTATATCTATCTATCTATCTATCTGTCTGTCTGTCTATCTATCTATCTATCTATCTCTATCGATCTATCTCTATCGATCTATCTCTATCGATCTATCTCTATCTATCTATCTATCTCTATCCATCTATCTATCTCTATCCATCTATCTATCTCTATCTATCTATCTATCTTTATCTATCTATCCTTATCTATCTATCTTTATCTATCTATCTTTATCTATCTCTCTTTATCTATCTATCTTTATCTATCTTTATCTATCTTTATCTATCTATCTTTATCTATTTATTTTGATCTATCTTTATCTATCTTTATCTATCTTTATCTATCTTTATCTATCTTTATCTATTTTTATCTATCTTTATCTATCTTTATCTTTCTTTATCTATCTTTAGCTATCTATCTTTATCTATCTATCTTTATCTATCTATCTTTATCTATCTATCTTTATCTATCTATCTTTATCTATCTATCTTTATCTATCTATCTTTATCTATCTATCTTTATCTATCTATCTTTATCTATCTATCTTTATCTATCTTTATCTATCTATCTTTATCTATCTATCTTTATCTATCTATCTTTATCTATCTATCTTTATCTATCTTTATCTATCTATCTATCTATCTATCTATATCTATCTATCTATCTATCTATCTATCTATATCTATCTATCTATCTATCTATCTATCTATCTATATCTATCTATCTATCTGTCTATCTCTATCTATCTCTATCTATCTCTATCTATCTCTATCTATCTCTATCAATCTCTATCTATCTCTATCTATCTCTATCTATCTCTATCTATCTCTATCTATCTCTATCTATCTCTATCTATCTCTATCTATCTCTATCTATCTATATCTATCTATATCTATCTATATCTATCTATCTATATCTATCTATATCTATATATATATATATCTATCTATATCTATCTATCTATCTATCTATATATATATATCTATCTATATCTATCTATATCTATCTATATCTATCTATATCTACATCTATCTATCTATCTATCTAATCTAATCTAGTGTAGTCTAATCCAATCTATCCTATCCATCTAATCTAATCTATCTAATCTATCTAATCTATCTAATCTATCTATATAATCTATCTTATTAATCTTATCTATTTTATCTATCCTATCCTGTCCTGTCCTGTCCTGTCCTATCCTATCCTATCTAATTAATATAGGTATCTTCTGATAAAATCGTTAGTTTTCTACCCCCATTCCTTTTGTGTTGAAACTGCTATGACTGATTTTGCAGCCGTGACAGCCATGACTATTGGGTTGGTAGGTCATGTACGTCATCCCCATGAACTTGTCATCCAAGTTGCCAAAGAACTTCATCATCTTTGATACCCTTTGGGAATCAAACATGGCAATTGAAAATACTGTATCATATATTAAATTAGATATATTAAACATATATATGTATTAGAAAATACTGTATATATTTTAAATACCATTTGAAAATACTGTATCGATATACATACATAGGTCATTAGGTCATTACAAGTCGTTAAGTGTCTAATAAGTCTAATACATAGAATAGTCATCCTGGTGTAGATAGATCTGGACATTTCAAAAGATACTAAAATGCTAGTATCTTTCAAAGTTCCATGTTCTAGCTACTCCAGGATCAATACGTGTATCATATATTTGGATAAACATCACGTGCCCTCAATGCGACGTCAATGATGGGAATGGATTGCGGGGAATCATGCCCCGGCCCAACATGATAACAGCTAGTATCATTATGCGGCCGGACACATATGCTACAATGTTATATAGAAAATAAGTATGATGGCTATTAAGAATAGATATATTGTGTATTATAGATGCATATTATATTCTTTATGTTACTATCTGTTAAATGCGCATGTTGGGATCCTAATTTTCCAGGCTACCCCCCAGAAATTGTCCAGTTGCTATGGAAAGGTGACCAGTTAGTTTGATGATTTACACACAAAAAACACGTGATTTTCCCATGAACATACCAAGTTGGTGATATATCCCATCAACAATGCCCATTCAACCCCTTAGTAAAACCATACGGTTGATGGTTAAAGCACCATTTTTAATGCTTCAATCACCAATGTTAATAGTTCTGTTGGTGAAATCACCCATTTTCGATGGCTTTTCATGGGAAAGTCATCTATCGACGGGATATTTTCCAGCCGTGTTTGATGACACCGGAGGGCACGGGCACGTTGCAACAATCTGGATGGCACCCAGTTCATCTTGAGTGGTACTTCTCAAGAATCCCCTGAGACGAAGCATTTTTTCATATTTTTTCTATCCAAAGTGGTTGGTTAAATCACCATTTATAACCGTTTGTGGGGCTATCATACCCCATTCTATCCCATTTTATCCCATTACATCCCATTATATCCCATTCCATGCTATTAATTAACATGGTTCCCAACGATTCCCGTAGACTTGTATTTTTGGGCATTTTGGGGCAATTTATATGCAGGGGATCCGGGAACTCATCAGTTGTACATGGGATATTCTAAATCCTGCTGTAACCCTAGTTGGGATATGTTTTGCTATCAAACATTCCCTTCCAATATGATTTTCATGTCATGATCATTGGTACCCTCTGGTAAACGTTTACATAACTATGGAAAATCACCATTTTTCATGGGAAAACTCACTATTTCAATAGCCATTTTCAATAGCTATTTTGACATAACCAGAGGGTAGAGTTTATCTGGTAGAAAACTCCTTTTTCCATTGGGATTCGATCCTGGGAATCCCCCCTGGTATGACAAAACGATCTTGACCATTGTATTACCCGGCCTGGTAAACACACAAAACACGATGGACAATCACCATTTTTAATGGGTAAATCAACTATAAATGGCCATTTTCAATAGCTATGTTAGTCATTACCAGAGGGTATCCTATTGTAATCCTATTGTAATACTATCAAACATCGTATCCCATTGGTATCATAGGTGAAAGAATCACCTGGTATCCCTTTTTTTAATACTTCGATTCGGTCGATGTTTGATAATAAATCACTAGTATCCTATAGCCTCAATGGGAAATAGCTATGGAAAATGGAGGTTTACCCTCTGGTAAACGTTAACAGTTTGCGAACTGGAACATCGCCATCCTTAAGTTCAGTAAATCAACGAACTAAATGTGCCGTTTTCCAGTTCGCAAACTGTGAGTCATTACCAGAAGGTAATAAACTAAATCCTATTCCCCCAATAGAAGATCACCCTTGAAAGCCCATTGGTTTTTATATGGGGAATCCTTGTTTTTATATGGTTTTTATCATCCCAATAGCTGGCCCACCATTTGCCCAGATTCCAGAGGGATGACCATATATTCCAAAAAATCGGACTTTGAGTCCACAAAAAAAAAATAAGCCCAGAATGATAACCCTTGAAACTCCATTGGTTAATGTATTGGATCTATTCATCAAAAGGTATTTGAATAGTAGATAACCCTTGAAACCCCCTGTTTGGTATGTTTGGTATTGGATCTATTCATCAAAAGGTATCCGATTGGTACCCCCTGGTAATGACTAACATAGCTATTGGAAATGATCATTTATAGTTGATTTACCTATTATAAATGGTGATTTTCCATGGTTTTTTGTATGTTTACATGGCAGGAAGTGGTATCCGATTGGCAGGAAGTGATCCTCGACATGGCCTTGGGCTTGAGAGACATTCCAAAGCTCAGCCAGGTGGAACGGGGGTTTTCGGTGCTTCTTTGGTGGCTAAAACGCTTACATACACTGCGTGTATATATAATATTTAGATAGATATGTATATGTTATATGTATGTGTATATATATATATGATTATATGTTGTTATATACCATATATATATTAAATATGTACATGTATGTCTATCTATATATGTATGATTATATGGTGTTATATTATATATATGAGTTGCCTGTGTGTTTGAGATTATGAAATCATACGCAATAATGTTGGTTGTTGAGTTGAGAAGTCAACGGTAGCATGGCATTTCAGTTGTCGCACGACTTGCCCACTAAGAGCAGAGTTGAGAAGTCATACTGCCATGGATGGACTTGACATACCCTCTGGTAAACGTTTACATAACTATGGAAAATCACCATTTTTCATGGGAAAATCCACTATTTCAATAGCCATTTTCAATAGCTATTTTGACATAACCAGGCCGGGTAACTTCTACAATGGGATTCAACGACCCCGCTGAAATGGAGGTTTGTTGAATCCCCATTGGTCATGTGTGCCGTTCCTCGGAACATCCTCTAAAAATTCATGGTAAACATAAAAAAATAAACCATGGAACATCAGCATTTTTAATAGGTATATCAACTATTTCTATGGTCATTTTCCATAGTTTTAATGGTTGATTTTCCAGATTTGCAGTGTTTACCCTAGGCTACCTATCTGATGTTTCGTCTGAACCTGATTTTCAGCTCATTTTCCGTCACTTTTGGTGATTTGCCATTGAAAAAACATGGGGATTTTCCATTGTCATCGGAGCACCAGTGCTGAGGGCGCAATCGATTCCCTCCGTAAGCCCATTAGCGGGGCGCCTAGCGGGGCTGGTGGTTTTTCAAAAGAATCATCTATACATCTATGTATACATATATATATATATATATATGTACATACATATAAACCAAAAAAAGATTTAGATACAGTAATTACTTATATTTTTTATTTGTTAGAAGTACGTTATTCAGTTATTGTATATTATATATAGTTATTGTATATTATATACTATCCAATCTATAATATATATTATATTTATACTAGATTACATACTCAACATTATATATTATACAATGTATTATATATTATATGATATATATATATATAATGATATATATATATAATGATATATATATATATAATGATATATATATATATATAATGATATATATATATATATAATATTATATATCATATATTATATTTGAAACTTTATATCTTATATATTATGGTTTTATTATATATTATATTTGTTATATAGTTATATATTATACATTTATATATATATATTTAAATAATATAGCTGTATTATATATCTGTATATATTTGTATATTATAGATTATAATTTGCAAATTATATATTATATCTATATTTCATATTTCATATTACATAATAACATTTGTATATTATATATATATATTACATATATATTTTCAATTTAGTATTATATATGTTATATTATATATCCATTATATATTATATATTATATTACTTATTACTTATTATTCATTATTTATAATATACTATATATATCATATTATATTATATTATATTAGATATATTATTGTTTTTTTTTCTTATATATATATATCATATATTACACACTATATATTATATATATTGTTTATTCTGTATTATGTATTATATATATCATATATTACATATGTATTTTATTATTGTTTTTTTTGGTAGATATTTTATAATATATTCTACAGTATATATTGTCTATTGTAAATGATATATTTTGATATTTCGACCAGGTCAAACTTCCTGATAGGTTGTGGAAGAGCAGCTTTCGGGAATTGCAATCCCAAAACTTCAAAGAAAACTGGCCGCAAGCGGAGACATGAAGTCATTCCAACTGCAGACATGAGAATGCACCAAGAATTGAAAGAGAAAAACTTCCAGAGCCACGTGGCAGCTACATCTTAGAGCGTATCGGCTGGTAAGATCTGGTAAGTGTATGAAGGTTTACACCCTGAGGTCGCTGAGGTCTTCCCTCCCGTTGTGAGGTAAGTATCCTTGGGAGTACTATGATGGGGAGCGGCCTTGGAATGCAGCTGTGATTGCGTCAGTGGAATAACAAAACTGCGGCCGCCTGCACCGAGGGACAGGGGGGCGGACTGCACGGAACATGGGTCGGAAGTCCCCGGCGCGAGGTACGATTCGAACATGATGTCATCGGTCTTGCGCACGCGAGACACCCAGGGGCCACAGTACGATTTGGAAAATTGGGGGGGATGATTCCAGTAACTAGTTAGTAACTCTGGTTAGTAAGTCCCTAAGGTTATCCCACACTTTTCCATTCGGTGATTTTTTCCAAGTGGGCTGTGTTCCTGGCTGAAGGTTGCTGCCACCCAGTCCCTTGCGGGTGGGTGTACAGGAGCCACGAGTTTTGCCCGGGTTTGGGGCAGGTTTGGGGTTTTTCGATTTGTAGGAGCCAACCACAAAAATGCTGTGATTTAATCACAGAAAATCATTGGGATTGAAGCATGAAACACGATGATTTTGTCCGTGAACAAGCTTTGGCCACACGAATGGGGATGGCTTGGATGCTCATGGGACCAGTGGTGAAAAATGTGACCAGCAGGGCGGATGGCCAGGGTTTTGACACATAGCCATATAGCCTCTGGTAAACTAACATAACTATGGAAAATCACAACTTTTCATGGGAAAATTCACTATTTCTGTGGTGATTTTCCATAATTATGTTAAATTACCAGAGGGTAGCCATGTGAGTCATGATTGAAGAGTTCCTTCTTGGGAATATATTGGGTATATATATATAGCAATCCCCCAAGAGATAGACCAGTAATTTATCACATATTTTCATCACTGTGAAAAAGTGGGATCCCCTGGAAATCAACCATGGTATGGCCATTGCTTTTCCAAACCGCTTTCGTTTGGTCAGTAGGACATATGGCTTTGTGGTGTTGGTCAAAACTGGGCATAGTGAATATGATAATTATGAGATAAATAAGATAAATCTCGAAATGGGAGAAACCAGCAATGACTTGCTCCTTGGCGACCAGCATTCTTCAAATCTTCACTTTGCTAAGATCATCCCATTTACCCAAAGACATGCCAATTTATTCCCTTCAACATGTCGAATTTTCCCCTAAACCACAAAAAACCATGGGTGAAACTGACTCTTTCAGGGTATTTTTTTAATGAAGATCATATGAACCTCACTTTTTTTTTTCATGGCTTTTAAACCATCTTCCATTTTAACCATCATTTTCTGGTGGAAAACATGATGTTAGTGGCAAAACTGCAGTTTTTAAAAACTTGATGGGATTTTGAGTGATTACTCGACTCAGATCACTAAAAATAAGTCATTCTAGGGATGATTCAACTCAAATCACGAAAACGTGTCGTAAATGTGGATTATTGGATTTAAAGATTCTAATATCGTCATAGTAACTATGAAAAGACAAGCCATACTAGATATATATATATAAATATCGCTCACCCATTTGCCATATCAAAAAAAAAGATCTACCATAAACCAGATGATTTTTGGTAATCGAAAAAACACCACCATCGACAGGAGAAGTTGCGGTCCCTGAGTACCTTCCCCGTAGAGGTCGGGCCAAGGGTCGGGTCATACGGGTCGTCTCTTGGAGACCGGGAACGTCTTGGATGGCCAGAGTTCAAAAAAGCAACAGAAAAAGGGAGGATCTATATGATTTTATATGATATTTATATGATTTTATATGATTTATTTATATGATTTTGTATGTTCTATTCATGCTGGATCTTTGACAATTCCATATTCTATGATATTTTTTAATCATATTTTCATCTGTCTTCAGGATGATGACAGATGATTGAGATGAGCGCGAAAAACTGGCTGTGGCGAAGAATTCGGCAGAAGAATTCGCCCCAATGGGAGGAGGTTACCTGACGGGGTTATCTCATTATATCCCATTATATGTCATATTTCCCTATAAAATATATACACATCTTGTACATGTTACATCATCCTGAAGTAGATAGAAAATGGCATTTTCAATGATATTCCCTTTTTTAGTTGTGGTCATTGAAATCTACATCTAAATCTACATCTATCTACATCCAGGACTATTACTTTTCGACCAGGTGGTGGATGCAATGACCAGCGGCTTCAACCTTTCTGCTTGGTGGGAGCAACACGGGGATTCAGGGTAAGCCGGGCTTTTTCGATACCATGAGTTCATAGGATGTACTTATATCATATATCACATGTATATATATAATCACATATATCATATATATAATATATATAATCATATATATATAATCATATATATAATCATATATATAATCATATATATATATAATCATATATATCATATATACATATAATCATATGTATGTATATACATATGATATGTCTCGGATATAGTAAGGCTAAAAAAGATGCAGAACAGCTTCACTTTACCACGGACGAGGTGAAGCTCGCTAGGGGTGGTTGGGGTCAATGCCATAAACAACTCCCCATTTTATGGGGGTGGTTTGAATCCCACCCATCTATGGCATCGAGCCGCAACCAGATGCTGATCATTGTTGCTTGGGGCTTGTACTCCCATTCACCGGGGAATCTGTTAAGTAGTCGAACCATTGCAGATGTCGTTTTTTTCTTTAAGCTTGTTGAGAATTCATCATTCGATTCTTGAAGAAGAACAACCTCAGTACAAGTGGGGTTATATCCCAACTTATGGGGTTTATAACCAAGGTTATACCCATAAAAGTAGTCGATCAGTGTGATCGCTCTTCAGACTCGATCGCAGCTGAAGACTTGGTGTTTGCAATGATATCTTTGCAGCCCAAGTTTATGAGTATCACACCTTTCGGAAGCAATATATTCCAACTAATCCATTTGCAAATATCATCATCATCATCATCATCATCATCACCATCAGCATCATCATCGTCATCGTCGTCATCATCATCATCATCACCATGATCACCATGATCACCATGATCATCATGATCATCATGATCATCATGATCATCATGACCATCATGATCATCATGATCATCATGATCATCATGATCATCATGATCACCATGATCACCATGATCACCATGATCAGCATGATCATCATGATCATCATGATCATCATGATCATGATCATATTCATCATCATGATCATGATCATCTTCATCATCACCACTCCACTTCCGCCTTCTTATTGTTTGGCTTGCCACGTAGCTATGCGGGTAGGTACTTGGTCCTCACTGGGCTGTGGGCCGCCTTTTTCCTCTACGTCACCATTGAAGCAATCGCTTTGTCTTCACTGATGCAGTATGGCCTCCTAGGCACGTCTGCAGAGGGTGATCTGGAAATGATGGGGATGAATATGGTATAAAGTATAAATGGGATATATAATAGAGTAGTTATATATCAATGAGGAAAATCTATGGTGCTTTCCATAGTCATGGGGGATCACCAAGCTCGCTGCATGTTTTTTTCATGGACCATCTGATTTTTCAATGGATGAGAACTAGGGATGCCCCGATGACTTAGGACACCTCCATTTTTTTCGCCAGTCCGAAAATCGGCGATAATCGGAGAATGGTGAGCATCGGTATATCCCTTTCGATGGCAAATTTAGTAGGTATGATGATAAACCCATGGGTTCAGGAGTATCTATTCTCAAACAAACCCATTTAATGGTCATTTAAATTAGAACATTGATGATCGACCATGAGATCTGGGGGTAATTACTCAAAAATCCCGGACATAGCCTTATGTTGGTACGTCTGAACGACATGCCCCAAGTGGATATTTTAGTTTTTTTTTGCGGTTTTCTTTGAGGTTTCGACCCATGCTTCACTTTGTGGATAGCTTTTGGATGGACTTGCTTCACCATGGAGAAGCATCATCCAAGACTCATGGTCCATGTTTAGAAATGCTCTGCAGGAAAGAGCTTAGAACAAGATGTTCAACATCAAACCGGAACCCCCAAAGACAAAAACCATCGATGGCACAGCGATCTTTTTCACCTCACAATTCCCAGGTTACGCAATTAACGATCGAATTTAGAGTTGCTACTAAGTGATGCTACCTACAATGACCTACAATTAGCAAGTTTTTCTACCCCATCTAATTGTAGGTATCGCCAATTTCCCTAGTTGACCCACTACCAGCGGCTCATTCCAGTGGCGGCTAATTGTCCGGATTTTTGGGACCGAACAACCGGCACTAGCATTCATTCTTCAGTATGATTTTTTCAGCTGTTAAATTGTTAAATCATATTGAACCGTATTAAATTATATTAAACCATATTGAACCATATTAAACCATATTAAATCATATTGAACCACATTAAACCATATTAAATCATATTGAACCACATTAAACCATATTAAACCATATTAAACCATATTAAATCATATTGAACCACATTAAACCATATTAAATCATATTGAACCACATTAAACCATATTAAACCATATTAAACCATATTAAATCATATTGAACCACATTAAACCATATTAAATTCATGTTAAACCACATTAAACCTTAATTAAACCACATTAAACCATATTAAACCACATTAAACCATATTAAACCATATTAAACCATATTAAATTATATTAAACCATTTGAAACCATGTGAAATTATATTAAACCATATGAAACCATATTAAACAATATTAAATTATATAAAACCATATTAAATTATATTAAATCATATTAAACAGTATTAAATTATATTAAACCGTATTGAATTATATTAAACCATATTTAACCATATTAAATTATATTAAACCATATTAATTCATATTAAATCATATCAAACCGTACTAAATTATATTAAACAGTATTAAATTATATTAAACCATATTAAACCATATTAAATTATATTAAACCATATTAAATCATATTAAATCATATTGAACCATATTAAACCATATTAAATCATATTAAATCATATTGAACCATATTGAACCATATTAAACCATATTAAACCATATTAAACCATATTAAATTATATTAAACCATATTAAACCATATGAAACCATATTAAACCATATTAAACCATATTAAATTCATTTACACCATATTAAACCATATTAAATTATATTAAACCATATTAGATCATATTAAACCATATTAAATCATATTGAACCATATCAAACCATATTAA